TAATGTAGAAAACAGGCTCTTAAAGCATAAATGTTATGGCCAGTATCCCAAATGCTAATATTTGGCTATAAACAAAGTACACCATGGACGCATGACTGCAACATCACCACCACTTAAGCTTCCAATGTGTAATTTGATTTGTGCACTTACCTCTTCTACAAAAGCCTTTCCTCCTAGCATGTAAATTGATCTAAGTTGGAAAGTTTACGAGAGAGTGTGAAAATATCTTAAGCTTTTCTTAACCAAATACCTTATTTTAACAAACTTCATTCGATGTGTTTAAAAATGATCATTTGTTTACAGGTTTTAAGACACAATGCTGTAGAAACTATTCATTGAATATCCTCTAAGAACATAACGTGCATCATTTCACACATTTGAATACATTTGTTTACCCGTTTGTTTTTCTGTTCGTTCATCCAGGACACCAGGAATACCACTGAAGAGAAACCTGTCCAGCGATCCAAGGTAAATATAAGCATCGCCTGTCTCTTTCCTCATGTGTATGCGCTGATCCTTTTCTCTGAGTGTCACTCTTGGCCCACTACACATTCATCAGCCTTTTGATTTCAAACAGAGTCAAGGAACTCTTTCCTGGGGTTTGTGTCTATTGTAAATGCCAGCTTTCATCTCACTGAGCATGGAGGCCTAGAACACTGCCTGTTTGTGTGTCTGGTCGTAAATCTGTATGTTTATGTGCTCAGTCCTTCAGCTTTAAGACCCAAAAGGAAGTGTGTTCATCATGCGAGAAGACCGTCTACCCGATGGAGAGATTGGTTGCCAACAACCTGGTCTTCCATTCAACATGCTTCTGCTGCAAGCACTGCAATGCCAAACTTAGGTAAATGTCATTACTATTTTTGGACTAAAACGTAGTCATTTCCCCGGATGGTACGGGACCTAATCTTTATAGAGTCCCGTGTTTTCCTGTTTGTTGACATGACTTTCTTCTTCTCCTGTCACCGTCTGGTTTTTATATAACTGTTGTATTCCTTCTCTCCCTGCAGTCTTGGAACCTTTGCAGCTCTTCAGGGTGAATTTTACTGTAAACCCCACTTTCAGCAGCTGTTCAAAAGCAAAGGCAACTATGACGAGGGCTTCGGACGCAAACAGCACAAAGAGCTCTGGACCGCCAAGGAGGGAGATAATCTAACAAAGACGGCATAATGATACCTGCCTGTGTCCCACTCCATCCATGCCTCTTCTTTTCCTCCTCCTAACACCTCCAATACATCACGATGAACACATGCCTCATATGCTGGGGCACTGTTAAATCACCCACGCGCTCACTCGCTTTTTAAATACCATCAAAACAGATACAGGCACGAACGAAAACAGGAAATGACTGGCCAGTCGTTATCCATACTATTTTAAAAATCATTTTTTGGGTTCAATTTAATTGATATCTATATTTTCCTTTTTTATTTCCCATTTGGAGTTGGTAGTTGATTGTGACCAAAAGCCTTCCCCGAAATGGGGAGTATAATACAAATAATCACTTTTCTTTTCGTATTCTTTTGAAGAATTTGCACCGTTTTATTTCCTTTTTAATAAGTAAACTGTATGCTCAGGCAAACATTTCAGAGGGGCTAAAGAGCATCCATGTTTTGCAGTAGAGTATACACTCAGGTCAACACACATAGTTTCACTTATTTAAAATACACAAATCATAATAATACTCCTCGATATTGTGACTTTGCTGTCAGTCATGTCAGTGTTCTAGGTTTCACATATTTGAGGAGCAAACAGGGTACAGAGTACTGTAGAGTAACCTCGCACATCAGCAACAACTCACCTCGTTTTAGTTCCATCATTGTTCGCTTCATCTTGTGGTTTGTTCTTATGTTACTGACCGCTGTTAGTCTTATCCTTGCATGTTGGGATGACTGGGTCTTAATAGCCTTATCTTATGACTGTATTGATCTTTTGTGTCGTGAATGATTTTATGTGTTTCATTGATGCATAGCTAATCACTTTTTAAGGTTTTTGAGAAGCGCCTGAGTTTGGATTTGATTAATGTCGTGGCATAAGATAATCCTCTCTGAGCTTTTATTGTTGGTGGAAATTTTAATGGAATTCTCAGTTTGTGTTTTGTATACTATCTGTACGTAGAGCTGTAGTTTGTGATTAGTGAACATTCCCCACCTTACTGTACTCTCGTCTTGCACATATGACCACACATGATCACCGGACAAGATAATCACAGGGAAACTGAGGCCTCGTCCGTAAATATCCCTCACTCCGGCAGGTGAAACATCTTGAGAGGAGCTGTAAACATTTGGTTGAATTGATTATTACATTTGTCACAAACCAGGTTGTTGAAGGACAGAGCTTACACCTTGCAGGAAACCACAACATTTTATTCCCTCATCATTTCATCAGTCAGTTGTTGTCTTGTTGTGATTTCTCCCTGTGTTGTATTTGAGAGTGCTCATATAGCTGGACAGTTATTTTATGGTGGTCATAGAGGGATCCAATTTAGTCAGTGTCTTGAACATCCATTGTTTTGTTACCCCCAGTAAGTGTGGACAGGTTTCCTTTTTAAATAAATGCCTTCCTGTTCTAATCTCCTGTCTTATTAGCTAAATACATCTTAGCGCCTGGACCTATTTCTTAGTAATGAATTTAAAGAAGGTGGCTGAGGTAGGGTTTGTCACAGTATTAGTCCCCACTGTGCTCCTGCATGCTGCATGCAAAACCCATTGCGGAGCACCCCCTGCTGGGGAGAGTGTGACAGTAGTGTCTAGTGAGAAAGAAAGACAAATGACTTGCCCCTCAATTCAACTTAGCCTTTTATTCAAAGTTTTTGAAAACGTTGCCTCGGTCTCCAGTGCAGCTACTGCACTCCAGACATTTTTATTTATTTTATTTTATTCCAAAAAGAGAATTTAACCACATTACACACGATTTACTCCTTATATTTCATTCTATACAAAGAATGAGTCAAAAGCACTCAAATATCTCATAAAAGGAAAATATCCGAATACCACTGAGACTTGTCTTACACTTTAATGACACAAAATGTAGTTTTTGTGACTGAAGGTTTACTGTGAATTTCAGCATGCTGTGCAGAATTGAAACTTAACTGAAACATGGATGGATATATCTGCTACTTTCTTTCTTTCTTTTAAAGAGAAGCCTTAGGAATAAATTGCTGACCTTATTACTTTTTCAAATGAGCACACACCTTGACGAACAAATGTCCTAATGCCTTTTCAGCAACAGACCAGTTTAGTTTAGAGGCCCACTCTTAAACATAAGATTACGTCACTCAACCAGCAGCCATTTCCCCCATCTAACCTCTTCTTATACACATAAATGTACAAAGTTCTGTATTTGACAATGTATATTTTACAATATAAAATGGTCATCTGAAACCCTGAGAATGCTTTAAAATCAAGAGTAATGTATCTAGAAATGCTGTCTTTGTCATTCTCTGTAAGCAGTTCGCCAAGGTACAACTGCAGAATCTGTGAATTGCAACTTCTCAGTTTAGCAGACTCTTAACGCTGGTGCCAAGAGGCTCAGGTGAATGATTGCAGACTAACGTCATAAATGTTAAACCTGTGAGTCATTTCATTTTTGTGCTTATGTTGTTGAGGATTTACGTTTCAATGCTGTTGTCAATGAGACATTTTAAATGTATGCATCTTTGAAAATGTATTCTGTGTTACAGACTTGACTTGTGGATTGAGGTGGCCTTACAGCAAAAGGACGCTTGGACTGTTTTCAGTCGTTCTCTTCTCCATTCTCTCTGTTACTTAGTTTGTTATGAAAGTGTAACATTTTAAAATGTAAGCACCCCCCTTTCTACGCCTCTATACACAATCATTTTGTGCATTTTCTTTCTTTTTCTTTTTTACATGCTTTTGGAGAAAAAAATAAACGCTGGTGTTGATTTAACTCAGTGATGTTTGTGTTTTAATTAATGTAAAGAAAGATAAATCCTTGAATTCCAAGGATAATAAGGACTAAATCTCTTGATGCGAGAATGACAATGTCCAGCTCTTGAATTGTTAAATTCCTGTCAGTTTATTTCTACTTTTAGACGCTTTATAAATTCCGATTTTGGCTTAACCATTCATGGTTCCTGCTTCCCCATGTGCAGATTTGCTGAAATTCTGAATGTGTCCCTTTTGGGTTCTGAGTAATTAGATTTGTTTAGAAACCAAACAAAGAAACAAAAAGCGATAAACCTGTGATAAAAATGTCCATTAGTTGCAGTCCTATAACAAACTGTTAGAAATGACTTAATCTAACTAAAACAGTAAAATCATGCTTTAACATAAATGCATTAGTAATGATAATATGATATCTTATTGCACGAGGACATTTTTCAACATTGAGTAAAGTCGTTCTTTTTATTTTTTATACTTTTTCATTTTAGCTTCCATAAACCTCATACTATTTTTTGTATTTCTCTATTGATCTGGAACTTGCTACAACATACAAATTATCTCAATGGGGACCAATACAGGCTTATTTTACATTAGACCTTAAATGAAGATTGCTTGTCAATGCATGTTATATACTTCTACCACAGTATTTATGAACTATGAAATTAGTACTTTTAGATCTTTCATTTTATTTGCAACAACAAAGTAGGTAAGGGTTAACAGGTTAACAACATAAAGACATCAACAAAATATGTGCATGGAAAATGTGTGTTTTTGCAGGGAATACGATCTATGGAGTCAATGTGGGCATAAATGTATAGTAGTTATTAATATTTACTGTTGCATCAATAATGGAAAGGAATATTTAATAGAAATATAGAAGGTATATATTAAAAGAAAAAACACTTTTGCTTAAAGAATATGAATACTTCCCCTACCACTGGTGCATCAATATAATGGCAAAAAGCTGCGTGGATGTGCACAATGATACCTTAAATATGGATTTTCCTATAATTATGAAGGCAGCATGAGAGCGATCTACGTCACAACTGGTCCGCCCCTTTAACAATAATAGTGAGCGCGCTTGCAGAAAGATTTCGACCGAGTAACAGCGCGCTCCCGATGCAGCACGGCGTTTATTTAGATAGTTTAGTAACCAGAAATCCCCCTGGGAATAAATCCATGTTTTTACACCCGTATGGGGGACGGAGAGTGAAGTATTTGGAAAACATGGACACGACTTTGGAGTAAAGTGTTCACGACTTGTTGAAGTGTAAAAAAGCGGGTTCCGGTGGCGATATTTTTTCTGTCAGGAAGTTTGACGTATTCGGCTGGAGATTATTTGTTACTTTGTTTTGCTTTGGGGGGGGAAGTTGTGGACTGCAGTCTGCTACAGAAACTGCACGCAAACTCTGTGACTCCGAGAAAAGACTGCGTTTTCTTTCACATTAGTCAGTTTTAATACTTTTAGCAACCCTAATTTACCTACGAAGCTCTGCGAGGTGTAAAACATCGATGGAGTTAATCGAACTCCCCTAAAATAAATCGAGGTTATGTGTACAACAACGTGAGCCAGTTTTTGCAACATGTCGCGCACTTAATAAAGTATACTTCTTATGCATTCACATGCATTCTTATATGTTTTTTTAAACCATATTTAAGTTGCAATGATATAAGGATATCTGCAGCCTGCTGTATTGTGGACTCCAACCTGGCAACGCAAAGAAGGACAATCTGCAAATTTAGCAGGAAGAGGGGCTATCAAAATCACGGAAATCGTTCGGTCTTTTCCTCTGGCGAAGCTGTTGCTTACAAATGGATTTCAAACAGGCCATACAGTTATTCTTACACCTTTCTTGGTGGTTTTTGTGCTCCGTGATTGGCGGTATTCAGCGCCCTGATCTGCATGCTTAGCAGAGTCGTCTGTGAACAATGAAAACATGTTTTGGAAATTTAAGTTTTCCAAAGGTCCGAGGCTGCAGCGGATCAGGAGTTAGTCTCTGGGACACAGCTGGAGAAGCCTGATGTAGCCCGCTTTTTCGAACATTTTCTGTGTACAAATCACAGCTGTCTGTTTGTTTTTACAACCTGGAGACTATCCGTTTGTGTGAGTGCGTTAATTTTCCGTTGAAGAAGAAGAGTTATCTGGGGGGGGTCAGCCCCGCCATGGCACCCCACTCTCACACACGCTCACCGGTGTGACGGTCTGCCGGTGGACACCGATGGACGTGAGCGACGGCTGGAACTACTGCGTCATCCCTGCTGCGAGACACCGGTGACGCAAACCACAGGTGAGAGTTGTGCACGTGACAGTGATGACAGGTATTTGATGATTGAATTATGCTGCATTCAGGTCATGTGGGAACATTTTTTAACTACAGGTTGTGCCAATTCTCCAATTTCAATTAAATTAAATTATATATTCATGTATATATATACTACTATATTCACTGTTAGAAAGTATGATATACAAATGTATATGATTGTATGTTAACGTTGAAACAGTATAAGCAAACATAAGCAAATAAACATTTGAATTAAAAACATGTAAACAAATCTTACATATAAGATCAAATACATATTTATATAGGCGTACTGAATCAAATATACATGGCCGAATAGGAGCAAAACTCGTTCTAGGATTCGTTTAATAAACACTGTCTTCAATCACATTCCCTGCGTTCATTTATCTTCATTTACACAGGGTCGGTTGGCCGAGCATGCATCCTCAATTACAGCACCACCATGTTTACATTTGGACAGAACACTTCATTATTTAACAAAACAACATCAAACAGAACACATAATTGTTTTTTAAAAGTCACATGCTTGTATATGTAATTAATTGAGTATGGGTTTTAATTTACTTATTAAGGAAGTATTTTACCAATAGAAAATAAGACTGCTTCACAATCAGCAATCCTTCTAGTTCCTGATGCACCATTGAAAGGAAGTGCAGTGAAATATGTATCTAATTTTCAGAGGTAAATTAGGTACATAATTCACTTTATTATGTATTGGGAAAAGCACCAATAAATAAAGCTTCCAATTAAGTAGAGAGTTATTCATGGTCTGTAATAAGTCCTTTGCGTTCATTTGAAATGTATGTACTCAAATACTTACAAGTGTAGGGCTTAATTTGTCAGGTTTGAACACTTTAAACATAAAATAAGAATGAGATGTGGTTGTTGTTCATTGTAGTTAAACTATAAGCCCTCTCTGTGATAGTGTCATGGGTTGTTATTGACATGTAAAGATAGATGTTGATAGCTGTGCCAACTGGACAAAGGTATGGACCTCAGAAGGCCCTCCGACTTTGTTAACTTTTCTATAACCTTCACATGTTGTCATCTGTAATGCAGAATAGGAAGATTTTAAAAACTCCTTGTGATTTTGTAGAGCTTATCTCTCGGCATCTTTCTATACAAATACATCTGTATGTATGTATGTATTGAAACATTACAAGCAACATTTGAAACTTTAGCCAAGGCAAGTAACGAGATTTTGAGACTGTTGACATTGCGATATTCAAATGTAGTGGGTTACCTTGAACCCAAAACACGAGTCATCAGGCCAGAATTTTGCTGTGAAGCACTGAGTCCAGATGCATGACTGGCGAAAGACAGAGTAAGAACTGTGGCTGGGAAAAACAGCCTCAGACTAAACACCTCTCAAAGCAGACAGAAAAGAGAGGGGGGAAGAAAATCCATGTAAATCCTGCTAGTCCTGGAAATGTGATACAAGAAAAATAAAGCTGGCACAGCTGACTGGACTGGTAGAGCGCAGCCTCTTTCTCCATTGAATTCTCTGCATTCCACCTGGGAGGTAATTAAAAGCAGGGGTCAGCAGAGGGTCTCTGGGGGAATGGACAGGGAGGATAGTTGTTGTGTTGTTGACTTCAGGGGACCTGAGGTACACACATCTCCAGCATTACCTCTACTGATGAGATGATGGCTCTGAGAGTCCTAAAGTGATTGTACATCCATGCAACTTGCACACTTAAACAGGGGATAATATGGCACAACAAGGTTACATAAGTTACAACATTTTAAAAGAGGGTAATATGAAACTTACATTTCAAAAGTAAACTTCCAGACGCTGGGCACATGCATGAAGTTCAAAGGGTTGAAGGACTTAGGTACTTGGCACCTATACTCCATTGGCAGGAGAACATGAGAGAGCGGGAGCCCGAAAGCAGCGTGGTAACGGTCCGCCAACCACAGACAGACATGCCTGGCATTCCTGTGGGTGAATATTACCCAGAATCCACAGTTGCCGCAGGTACCGATGCTCACCGTTTTCTTCTCAAAAAGCCTTCTGACTGTGCCAGTCTATCCTCAGAGAGACAGTTGTTAAATGTTCTCTAGGCTTCATCATCACTGGTGTTTCCTGGTCTAATAACTGTCATATTGTAAATTAAGTTAGTCAGTTTTTCCCTGGGCTTAACCAGCAGCAAACCGCAGATATAATGTACATGCTTGGATTTGTTGCAGTATATTACTAGACAAGCTGTAGCCCTTGTTTGCACTGGACTCTGGTTTATATCTTTCCATAATGTTTTAGACCAGTCATGGGATATTACTGAGAGGTTCCTCTTATTTGTAGTGACTTGATATGGCCATATGTATATACAAATGGGCTCATCGTGGTCAGAACAGGGGTAAACAGCAACAGTAGCCATGATTGCCATTAGCAGCTAAATTAAGACATAGTTGTACAGAAAATGACCAAATCTGCACACCAAATGATGTACATATTTACGATTTGTTGCAATGGGGATATTTACATACTGCTAACAGTCAGACCCATAACTGGAAAATGCTTCATGTGCATTGGTGTGCTTACCCTGTGTGCACATGCATCTATTTGAGAGACAATGGCAAACAAAATGTTGTTCTTCGACTTCAAAGTTTACCGTCATAACCCGACAATATTACACATGATTGTTCACATTAATTTAACTGACCAAAAAACAGATGAACCTGATTTGAGAGTATCTCTGCATCTTTGAGTTGAGTGGAAAATGTTACTGCAAATGATCTGCAAGATAAACCTGGATAAGTGACAAATCAAGTCCACTAGTTTAAAGAAGCATGTCCTTCAGAGCCAAGGGCAACCTCTTATACAGTTCCAGAAACCCAAAATGACCAAAGGCCACTTTATCATTGTCAATTACATTTATTAAGCCATACAGAACTGCCAAATCAGCATTTAGTGCAACAGCAATCCCTGGCTTCAAGTTTCAGAGCATGAAGATAATCCCAAGGAGTTTCACAAAATGAGATATGCAGGTTTGAAATGTTTCATAAAGAGAATTTGAGTTGTGGTATCCTCCCCTGCAGAGATAAGTTAAGGTAGAGATGTTGGGTGATTGTCTTCTGATTGTAATACCTTTTTACCAACCAATGTTTTCCATCATATCTCGTGATTGTGAAAACTAAGTTTGTGTTCTCCTTTGTTAAATTACTCAGTATTCCTCAGGGTTGTGAGAATCAGCATTTCGATCTACCTGTTTGTATCTCACAAACAGAACATTGACAATAAAGTTGACTTTGACTTGACTTTGAATTCAATTTCTTAACAGTACAGATTTGGGGAAACCCTCTTCATAAAAGGAAATGCCTCACTTTATAGTGCTGGTGACGGCATATACGAGGCCGGTAACATTGCCCTGTTAACAATGGAGCTATAACCCAGCTGAGTTGGGGGTTTTTGCAGCTCGTGCAATCAGAGAGGTTTAAAGCTGGTAGATATTTAAAATGGATGAAAACTCCCTGTTAAACTTCCCTTTTAAACCGTGCCATACTGATCACTGCCAGTGCAGCTTGAATTTCAGCCGTTTCCAATTGTCATGTTTTTTCTTGTGCAAAACACACAATTCACATTCTCATGCACTCAAGGTTCAGGTCACTCACTCAGACACATCTTTAGGTATGTGTTGTGCAGGCTTAGATTACATGTTTTTTAAATGTTTGCAAGGAACTATGAATACAAAAGGTACTGCAAAAGAACATTTGGTTCTGTTAGTTCACAGTAAAACAATATTCTGTCTTTTCTTTTACTTGCATATCATAAAATAGGGTTGAAGCCACATTGTCATCTAAACCTTCAGTTTATTCCCCATTTCTTAGTCCTAATGTTAATAATATTTACCACTGAGTAATGTTTTATGGGCTGAGGTACTTGTATGCTGAACAACCTTTTTCATATGTCATCTCCTGTCTTACTCACATGCTTGCGTGCCATCGTAAGTTATTACACTCTTTATCTGAAAACAAATTCATTTTCTGTTTTACCACTCCAGGCTGTTGGTGAGTTTGCACACCACAGACACGTTTCTGAGGACTTGGTTTGAAGACCACGTGAGCTTACATTGCCACAATGAGTAAGTTCTCTAAATTCTGATGTTAGAAAGACATTATGAGCATGGTTTTCTCTCAACATGAGATAAAGACAGACATACACTCACAACAAACACTATCCCTGAGGCCTGTGAGAGCTGCTGCTCCAGACGCTGTCGGATGAAGGATTGCTTGTCTGCGTTATAGAGATGGGGGTCTGGTTCTCTCTGCTGCCCCAGGACTGTATGATGTCTGTCCAAGCTTCACAAGGAGAATATTTTCTCTCCATGAGCTAGTGCAGCCAAGGCAGAGCTTGCCCTGAGATCAAACATGGCAATAGGCATATCAAAAACACTGCAGGGCTCCCTCATTTGCCTCAAATACCCTGTCACAGGATAGTCTCAATATGGATGTAGTTAAACATTTTTTGCAGAAATGACTTTGAGGGGCTGATACCGCTCTCTCTCCGTCAAATAGACACATAAAGGCCATCCATTATCCAATCCACACTCTAATTGTGTATTTTCCCAACTCATTATCCTCTTTAGACGAGAGGCAGGCTCTCCACTCTATAATGAAGGACCTGGTTGCCCTCCAGATGACGCGGCGCCAGCCTGTGTTGTCATATGACGGCAACAAACCCAAGATACCTGCCCAGGCCAACAGACAGGTGCGGTACAACCACATCACCAGAAATCAAACATTTTATAACACTGTCTTACTGTAGATTCCGTCCACAACATGAATGAAAAGCTTAACACACGTGTTGAGATTTGCTTCAAAATTAAACAGTTAAGAGTCTTTAAGTTGTGTTTGGTATATATTACAATACCTTTTAATATTCAGGAGAGTCTTAAATGCTGAGAAATTATGTTTTTTCTTAATGACCAGTGGTCTGTCAATGTTAGTATTACATTGTTGGACCTCTGCTACAAAGAGTGTAACTAAAGCGCTTGTGCAAGTATATTCGTGATTTATAGTATTTCCCCTAGACCACACAACTAGATAATTTAACATAGTGGTACATGAAGTCCCAAGATAACCACCCACTGATGAATAAATGGAGTTATTTTCACCTTCTTTTCTAAAAATATATCTTGCCTGTGTAGGATAAGTAGCCCACCCTCACTTTCTACTGCAGCTGCAGCCACGGAAAACAGCCAAAGCAGACAACTCATGTGCAATGTAATGTTTGCTTAAATCCAGAGATTTCCCCCCTGGGAAACACATTCTCTCCCATTTTCCCACTTCAATAACTTGGTTACTAGGGAATAGTTTGGACTTGTTATAAGTGGAAGTGGGTTTTTTGGCAAGTGATGTAGCGATGGAGGAGGTGCAGAGTGATATTTCTTCCCAGTGAATACTCTTTGTGTAAGGTCAATAAGTGAAGGCAGTGCATGAGTAAGTCGGTCTTTTTAAGTTTTCTCTTTTGGGAAAAACACATCTCTGATAGTTACGATGGTCATTTAATTGTGTTAGTGTTTTGAGTGTTATCTCTAATCTTACTGTTTCTGTTTTCGTTCAGGACGATGTCAGGATAAAGTTTGAGTTCTCAGGAGAGAGGAGGTATGTTTCATTTGTCATTCTCTTATTTGTGTGTTTGTGTGTGTATGCGTGTGTGTATGCGTTTAGGCATTTGAAATGCATACATGGATGTATATCTAAGGGGGAGAGAGAGCATAAACTCACACAGAGACATAAACACACGCGGACGCATGCTGTCCTCGTCACATGTTCCAGTTCATGAGAAAGACTAAGACCAGCACTTAATTCAGACTGGTATGTGAGCTGGAGGATGGACGGGGAAAAGGACTGTGGTTAGTCTGCGGCTGCCAGCACAGACCTCAAATATGCAAGGTGTACTTGGAGGAATCTGCACACGCTACAAACAGCAGCTTGTGTGTATTTTGAGTGCACATGTGCAAGTCGAAAGCTGTTTCCTTAACAGCCGGTACAAATCTCTTCTAAAACGTTTGTTTATGATTTCTTGCTTTTTGTGTAATGTGTAGGATCCTGATGTTTGGAAGGCCTGTGCAGTTTGAGGAAATCCACCAGAAAGTAAAGACTGTCTTTGGCCAGCAGCTTGACCTGCACTATATGAACAATGAGGTAAAGTGGAGAGCTGGATAAGGTTTGGATTATTATAAATCTATAAATCTATATATTTTATAAAGTTATTGATTCATTTTCCAACAATCAACTGATAGTGTTCTCTTTACAATCAATTCCAAATATGTTTGTGTGAATCTACACGTGTTTCATTTACGAGAATTAAAATAAAATCGTATTTTGTGGGTCCGTGTGTATGCAAGTGATAACACATTTAAACATTGGTACATTTAACAATGTTTCAAAAAGCGTTTGTATGCTTTTGAATCTTATGTATGTGGTTGTTTATATATATGTTTTGTTGATATTGATGTTTTCTGTGTTTGTCTTGTTTCCTCGCAGTTGTCCATCCCCCTGCGAGACCAGGATGACCTGGACAAGGCAATCGACCTGCTGGACCGCAGCTCCAACATGAAGAGCATCAGGATCATGCTGCTCACTCAGGAGCACAGCAATGTAATACACACACACATACTCACACACTCACCCACTGGGCATGCATTTACAGCGTATTGTTGCACCACTGACATTTCTTCACCATTGAGCCATGTTTTGTGAAATCAAGTTCCTCATTACCCTAACTGGCTTGCTGACATGAAGTTTCATCGTGTGTTGAATGTTTTTTAAGCCTACTATTCTCCTCTCCTCATTCCCACTACAGGCCCCCTCCCCCTCCCACCACGTGCCGTGTAAGCAGGTGAGGGTCAAACCCTCGCAGTCCACTGGAGACGTTAGCACGGCCTACCAATCGTCAGAGCCCAGGGGACGCCACCTATCAACTGGTACAAATCTTCACCCGCCATTCAACTTTCTTTTTAATCTTATCTCCAAAAAGAGTGTGAATCCAGTGACTAAAAGTAGGAAATATAAACACTCTTTTTTCTTAACGTTTTGATAATATTCAGTTTTGGTTAGCCACGTTGTCATCGTGCTTTTGCCACTTTCTTTTTTACTTCCTGGATTTCCTTGTGTGTCGCCTTCTCTTTGGCTTCCCCTTTTAGAAATGGCTCCACTTCCTTTTCCCGTTCACCATCACTAGACGATGCCTGCTGGACATTAGCCAATCAGATTACAGAATGCTATTAGTGTCGTGGAGCAGTGGCCTGGTTTATGACTGCAGGAGGGCCTCAGAGCTGGACTTTGACAGCACCATAAATATTAAGACTCTCAGCTGTTGCTCTTTTCACTCAGAATGGAAGCTATCAGTATTTGTACAGATGTTTTCTTTTTTCTTTTTGGGGGAGAGGGTTTCTGAATATTAAAATAACATTTATTCATGACAGTAGTTGCATGTATGTGAGTTGTATGAATGTGGCATCAAGTACTGCGTATTTGCTTTTAGTGCTGCTTGATGTCCAAATACATGTCAATATAAATGAAGGCATTTTGTTCAAAATTAGGCAAATATCATTATCATGAAATCAACTGATTTCCTCACAGCATATTGTTGCTGTGTGTTTCAGGCCTGTAGAGGGCAGCAATAAAAAGAGTTTAGTGGTGATGTGTGTATGTATTAATCCTCCATTGTTTAGTGTAATTGTTGTAGTTGTGAGTTTTTTTCTCATATATCTAATGTTTCCTTTATGATCTTTACTCCTTTCTTATCCCAGGTTCTCAGAACACGGGGCGAAGCTCACCGCCTCCTGGCTACGTGCCTGAACGCCAGCAGAGGATCGCCCGCCAAGGTTCATACACCAGCATCAACAGCGAGGGGGAGTTCATCCCTGAGACCAGCGATCAGTGTGTGAGTCATTGCTTCGATATTAAGAAAATCCACCTTAAAGTATAAATCATGTGTTGTGTATCTGAGACGTTATCCCATAAATACCTCGTCTTCAAAGGTTCAATACCTTTTCTTCAAGTTTGTAAGACACTGTAAAGGTATTGGTAAAAGGTCAAACAAATGTATCCATCTATACATTGCAAGAGGAGCCATTGAAACATGAGCTTATTGATTCAAGTGTTCTTAAATACATTCTGTTTTAAGGTGGAATTTGCTTTTGCTGAAATGAATGTGTGTTCACAAAGCACCTTTATTTTCCACTGTGCAGGTGCTGGATCCTTGGAGCAGTGCAGACAATTCTGTTTCTGGCAGCTGTCAGTCTTTAGACAGCAACTCAGACAGGTAGGAGCGCAGATCTGCCTGCCAGAGACTCACTTCTTCTTTCATATTTCTTATTTTTCTGGCATTTGTTTTATGTTATCACTCAAATTATACCTCTCAACATCTCTTACTCCTCTTCCTATCTTCTCCTCTCTTACAGCCCCTCACTGAGAAAGTCTCGAATGCATAGAGCAAAGAGTTATCCTGATAATCGTCAGGAGGGCTCAGGTGAGAGCTGCCATGATATTCTCATTCCCCGTGGGCAAATACTGTGTTCAAGCAATTCAGTCAGATATTATGAGTTGAAGCATTCTTTGTTGATTTTTAACCATCAGGACACTGTGAGCGATGCATAAGAGTTCAGGTGTTTACAGCAAACCACATTTATAAAATAAAACTGTAAATACTAGTCCTGGCCAGGCCTTTTATAAATGAACCAAAGCTAATAAAATCTACAACTACAGTTATTTTTTCCAGATCTGCCTTGTTCTACAAAAGTATAGTCTTCAAGGGAGAGTCATAATGTAGCTCATGTGACTCAGTGAGCAACTGAGCTAAACTGTTTTAAATTACAGGCTAATCCTCCTGATCTTTGACCTTTTGATATTTACTTTCAGACCGGGAGAATCATGTGTATGACAGGGTAGCAGGGAAAGGAGGCACCTTTCCTCGTAGGTATCACGTCTCCCTGCATCATAAAGACCACAGTGAAGGTAAGACCGGCATTGGTATCTTATCTGACAATGTAGCTTATTTCTCATGCTTTCTCTTTTTACCATTTCCTCTCTTAATCTCCTCCGTTTGTCATGAGATTTTTAACCTGTGCCATCCTCTTTCCTGCTCTCCTTCAGGCCGGCGGACGTTCCCGAGGATCCGCCGCCCCCAGGGGAACCTGTTCACTCTGGTGCCCTCGCGCCGGTCACTCAATGGCAGCGAGGAGAGTGTGGGCAGCTGGCAGCATGTCGACACTCAGGGCAGGCTGCGGCCCCAAGAGCGTCCTGTCGCGCACAAGTGTGAGTGTTGCTCCATTAAGACTCAAAACAAAGTGTCCTCATTATTCTTAAAGGATATCTAGATGATGCATTGCAGGGTTCAATGGCTAATATATATATACCTAATCATCGAATTAAGTTTTTCCTCTCGAGTTGACTTTTAGCAGGAAATTAGAAACAATACTTAAAAGGTGTGTCAGTAAAGTGTGTCAGATTCCTATGCTAACTGTACCATATGCCAGAGCTATTCAATTGGCGGCCCGGGGTGATATTTACTGGCCCTTTGAGTATAATGTTAAAAAGTAATCTACGTAATTTTTTTTTTAAAGATTTATTTTTGGGTCAGAGTGCCTTTATTCCAGAGAGGGTGTTAAATTGAGAGATAGAGGAAGACATTGCCTGAAAACTTCTGCGGGCTCGGGTTTCGAACCCACCTACTAGCTACTGTAGTGACAGCTCCTGTCATGTATTGCATCTCTGCGTGAATGATTAGATCATTTCACCTAAATTAAATCAAATGAAATGATGTTGATGGTTAAATTAGCTTCACATGTCGGCTTACTGAGTTCTGAACTTGCCATTTAGATCTATAATGGCCTTGGGGCTATGTTGTTTGATTTAATTAAACACAATATACGCATTCCACTATTTACTGTAGCTGAAGCTCTTAATATGATTGCTCATATTTCAAGCCATCTTTTTCCCGGCCCCTTGCTTTGGATCATTTTCATCAACCGGCCCCCATTCCAAACTAATTGAATAGCCCTGCCATATGCATTGCTGTGCCATTAGAAATCCGTCAGTTTAGCTTTGCTTATTAGGAACATTTGTTGGAAGGGTAAAAGAGAAAATGATTATTTTTGCAACAATTTAAAGGCTGTGTACTTTTTTCTGTGCTATGTAAGATGGCATGTTCTATATATTAAATAGAAACAAATAAACAGCGGTGATGTTTCTTTGCAGCACCCAGTGCTCCGATGACATGGCGGCGGGGGAAGCTTCTGGGCCAGGGAGCGTTCGGTCGTGTGTACCTGTGTTACGATGTGGATACTGGGAGAGAACTGGCTGCCAAGCAGGTCCAGTTTGATCCAGAGAGTCCTGAGACGAGCAAGGTGAGGCACATGGAGATCAAATGTTCATGTTTTCACAGAGACAGAAAGCTTGGTTGTCTTATGCCTTCCCCTTTCATCTTTCTGGTACTGAGGGAGAAGATAACCACTATTTACAATTCGATATTAACTCAAGTTGCTATAAAAACATGACATTGAAATCCAAGTGAAAACAACTTTTTACTGATGAAGCGTTGAAGAGATTATTTTCTTCCCTCAACCCCCCTCTTCCCCATTTTAATGGGTTTTCCTGTCTTCCACAGAGGAAAAATGCACTGTCACTTCCTGTGTCTAAAAAGGAGACGGATGTTGTGGTGGGGGGGGGCGGTCATTGCCTTGGCCTTTCATTACCCCTTCACCCCCTCCCAGCTTGTAGCACATTTTAATCTGTTGTTTCTTTAAAACCGGCTTCTGTGTTGGGATTAATGTGACTTCCCTCTCTTCTATTGGGGGACTGTGCAATTGGTTTAAATCTACTCTCTTTACTCAAGGTTTCACATTTGGCTCAACATGCAGCGATTAATAACTGTTTGTCATTCCTGTGTTTATGATTAGATGTGTTGTCATCAGCAGTAACAGATATGACAGAGCATTCATGTCTCTGGCATGTCCGGAAAGTGCATTTTGTTTACAAATGAAAACAAAGCGGCATTGTTCAGAAATCTGAGCTTTTATGTCTGAGCGGTTGAGTCTTCGTGTTGTAATCTCCCTGCTTCTCATTGTGTCTGTACAGGAGGTCAGCGCTTTGGAGTGTGAAATCCAGTTGCTGAAAAATCTGCACCACGAGCGCATTGTTCAGTACTACGGCTGTCTGAGGGACCACAATGAGAAGACCCTCACCATCTTCATGGAGTACATGCCGGGGGTGAGTCCCAGCAGATTTTATTCTCTGAGATCCAGCTAGGGAACAGATAAATGTTGTTTTTGTTGGTTGAACAAATGACAATAATTCCCTAACCTCAGTTTATTTGTTCAAAGACAAGTTGGCATCCAACATTATGTCACAGGGCAATTATTTAAAGCCAAAAAAGACATGAGTAAGGCAAACGGAGGGCATCCATTTGTTCCCATGACTAAATGTTTTGATTTGATATTAATCTGGTGATGTTGGCATTAGGAAGTGTGATTTGGCATATTTCCTCTGTTCCTTCCATCTGAAATGATGCCCATTATTAAGTTAAATACCTTTTTTCTTTTCAACTGCAGATACTTTTCCAGGAACCTTTTCTAGGAACTCAGTAACATTGTTTCAGTTTGGGGATACTGAGCCATAGTTGTGTAACCAACTTCTTTCAGGACTAAATAAGTAGTGAGATTAAAGAGATAATGAAAGATTGCGTTACGTACTAAAGCAGGTCAAGAACCAGAAGAAATAAATGTCACATTGTTGCAGTCAGTCAGTTGTTTATATTTTCTAGTTCTTGGCATCCACAAATAATGACCATAGAGCAGATCAACGCAGAGTAGTCTCTCTATCAACCCAAGATTGTTGTTTTCCAATATCAATTCAAGCACGCATCAGCTAAATTACACTGCAAACAATGTGATGACTTTTGTTTATCAGTCTATTTTTAAATGCCTACTTTTTATCAATTAACTTACTTTTTCCAAATGTGACATTTTCTAAGTTTTGTTATATATGTGTTTCTTTTTACATCCTGACTGTGTTCCCGGTTTAGACCTTCAGTGAGGGGGTAGACTGGTGGTCTTAAATCGTAATGTGCTCACAGTGTGTGTGCTGGTGTGTTTAGCATTTGGTTGTTTCCTATCAGGGTTCAGTCAAAGATCAGCTGAAGGCCTACGGGGCGTTGACAGAAAACGTGACACGGAAGTACACAAGACAGATCCTGGAGGGCATGTCCTATCTGCACAGCAACATGATCGTACACCGGGACATCAAAGGTAGTCCTGTTAATACACAGGGGCTAGAGTAATATACTATTTTGACACTAGATCAATGTTTAGACAGAGTTTTGATATACAAATGTTTGACAGTATGTGAAAGGGGATCAAATATGTACGTGTTCCATGTCAACTCAGGTGCCAACATCCTGCGGGATTCAGAGGGCAACGTGAAGCTCGGAGACTTTGGAGCCAGCAAGAGGCTGCAGACCATCTGCATGTCTGGCACCGGCATCCGCTCTGTGACCGGCACCCCGTACTGGATGAGCCCCGAGGTGATCAGTGGAGAGGGCTACGGGAGGAAAGCTGACGTCTGGTAAGACCAGGAGATGCACAGCGCTCTAGCTCAATGTTTGATCCCAGATAATCAAGTACAGTACATGTTTCAGGGATATAAGTCATGCTTAAGCTATATTTATATTAGGTAAGAAGGTCTTCTAATTGAAGCAGTTTCTCGGGGCACAAATTGTAGATTTTCATATTTATGCTTTCCCTAGCCAACTTAATTTAAAATATGTTTTTAAATAAGGTGCATACATCTCAATATTGAAATACATATAACCCATTTTGTTTAATACCTGGAAGAATACTTAATTGCTTACTCAAAGCTGTAGAGCAGATTATAAATGGTACTGCTACTACCCTGTAGTTACCATGTCGATGTATCCTTGGGCAAGATAACCCCAAATTGCTCTTGATGGCATTGAAATGGTGTGTGAATGTCAGCCCCTGCCTTCGTATGAATGTGTGTGAATGCGTGAAGGGTGTATTTATAAGCTCTTTGAGGACTCAGAAAGACCGGATACAAAATACATATAATGCAGTCCATTGTACTTGTGTGACTTCCATGAAAACACAAACATATTGGCTTTTTAAATGTAGTTGTTTGGTCTTGTATCATGTAGTAACCTTCATTCCCATCATCATTTTGAGTTGGATCTAGTGGTAGAAGCTCTGTGCTCTCAGAGGGAAGATTTATAAAAAATAAAGTGAGTAAAGCCTGCAGTATGTAACCCACAGTCTACCACACAGAGCAGGCAACATTCCCTCATGCAATCTGATTGGGTGGTGAACCCATGAGTGTTGTGATGTGATTGGCTGAAGGCCAGTCAGACAGGTCGTAACAGAGGTTGGTATGTTCCAGGTTCTCAGTAAAGCTCCCAAACAGGTGGAGGAGGCCTTCTGCAGACAGCGAGTATGAAAGTTTCAACTCAAAACATTCCTGTAAAGCTCATATGTGGTATTTGTTTCAGCTTGTTTTGTGACTAGAGTACTTGTACTTGCAGGCTTGTTGCTGTTCAGAGTCTTTATGGTTGATTGCACTTTGTATAAGTCGCCTTATATAAAAGCGTCTGCTCAATGTATTTTAACGTCATTTCTTTTTTTTAGGAGCCTTGGTTGTACCGTGGTAGAGATGCTGACGGAAAAGCCTCCATGGGCTGAATACGAGGCTATGGCGGCCATATTCAAGATCGCCACCCAGCCCACCAACCCACTGCTGCCTTCACACACCTCGGACCAGGCACGGGACTTCATCAGCTGCATTTTTGTGGAGGCCAAACACAGACCCAGTGCTGAGGAGCTGCTCAGACATCCCTTCTCCCAGATTCTGTGCTGAAACCTGCCCGGTTTCTAACTTTTTATCACAGACTAGCCTAATCAGTATCTGTAGCTTCCTTGAAACCCATCCATGGCAGAAATCCGGACGTGGAACTGGACTAGAAGTCAGTGTAAAACCCAACATGCCTCTTCCCCCACGTCCAACAGCAGCATCTATTTCTTGAATACCAATGCCAGTACATGCTCTTACACGAGTCACCACCAGGGGGAAACAAAACATTAAGTATCTGGTGGGCAGCGGATCCTTACAAACACTCTTATGTGCACAAATGATGCACTCCAAAGACAGCATCATTAAGTCATGCTACAGTTGTTTATTCATCCAGTTGCCTCTCCTGTATTTGCGTTCACTTCTTTGAGCAGGGATCAGGTATTTGACATCATTTCAAAGCTTCAGCACACACCTGGTGCACAACAGTGTTCATTATTCCCCCCCCTCCTCTTTGTCTAGTTTCTTTTTCAAGAAAACTAAGATCTTAGAGTAGTTAAAAGCTATGTTTGATGCATTGCTTACTAGATGATTGAGTATATTGAATGAAACACAGATGTTGGAGATATGTGTAGAGTAGCTACACTGGAGTTTATATAACAGAACAAGTCTTTATTTTAGTTCCACAGTTTAACATCATTTAGTAAACTGGTAAAAATGTAGGAACAAAAAGTTTCTCCACTGACACGTTTTCTTTATCATAGTGCAGCAAAGTGGATGTTTTTTTTCATCAAGATGGTTAGATGAGTTTTGAAGACTCTGGAAATGCCTTCAGAGCAGTGGTGATTGTAATAATAGAGATTCTAACTGAGGCTATGCAGCCACAGGACCTGATTTAAGTCAGAGATACAACTTGAAATGTTTCTCCAAAGCAGAAAACACTCCCTCCACAATCACTATTGCTGCCTCCTAACTGTAGAAGTATGAGGATGAGATATAACAGTGTCCGATGAGATGAGGGTGGATTTTTCTTTTTGACTTCTCTCTCATGTTTTACATTTCGCCTCAATGTGACTTATCCATCTACCTGCCATTCTCTTCTTGTAGCTCTTCAGCATCACAGGTGTTCTCAACCGACAAAGTGCCAAAAAGGGGCCGATGAAATGCCTCAGACTTGATCAGTTTTATATGAAAGTTGGGCAGATGCTTTAAACTGTTAAAAGTACAAAATATATTTCCGTTGGCTTTTGCCTAATATGTCTGGCGCAAACATTCCTGACTGAGAAGCCTTAGTTTGAGGATCCATTTTAAATCAGATGCACTTTTATGTCAAATGAATGTTTTTGTCCTCTTTACCAAATTCATAAATATTGTTAACTTCAAATGTGAAAAATGTTAAAACTTTATTTATATCCCCATGTCTATCCCAATTCGATGTTTTATAAGCCAATATGTATAAATATATTTTTATATTTAGACTGTGTCATATCTAATGATACTTTCAGGACTAAGTAAATCATTGAAAGCAGCTGGTTTTGCAGACATTGGGGTTTATAAAAGAAGAATGGGTGAGAAACAAACTCTGCCTGTCTGGTTCCTCTTCCAGCTAAAAAACCTTTCCACACATTCTTAGGAAACGTTTACTTATAACTTATAACGCTTTGACACATCGATAAGGTGTCATGAATGAAGCCTTTAAATGCTTAACTGCTGGGAGTACTTTTCTGTGATCTCAGTAATGAAAGAGTGTGTGTGAGCCAAAGACAAGCCGGATCAGAGCCAGTGCTGGAGCGCAGAGTTCCCTGTTCATCCCATACGACGACTTTGTTTATCCCAGGGTTCAGACGAGTCCAGTATTTAATGAATTTCTGGGCAAAATGCTTGCTGCTGCCTTAAAGCTAATATAAGAACTTTCTCTGGGGCTGCTACAGGTTAAAGGCAGCTAAAATATGTTCAGTGTTTAAACATTTTTTTTTTTTAAGGAAAAGACAGTAAAGAACCCTGTGGTAAGCAAATTAATACAAACTAGTTGTTTAGAGATCTATATATTATAAATGATGATGTATCACGACAGGACTTGCAGTGCAAAGTCTAATGTATCAAATGTATTTTACAGCAAGAAAATAATAGTATGTTTTAATGAAAGTGTTTATATATTATATGTCATGCCCTCTCTCCAAAATAAATAGTTTTTAAGAAGTGTTTGTTGGTGTGTTCATGTGTAGGAGGATAGCTGTGGCTTGTTCAGAATCAGTGAGTCCAGTAAATGAAAGACTGACCTCATTGTTGGCAGTAGAAGCGACTTGATTGATGCACGCATTTTTTTTCTCTTGCTCTCCCTCATTTATGTTCTTCCTTTTTTTCACATGAAGGAAAACAGAAGGCACACACAGGAAGGAGAGATTTCTGCAACAGTGTCTGGCTGTGATATGGGAAAGCAGATTGTATTGAACAAAGGGCCTTTTTCTTGAGATGCATTGCTTTTGACAGGTTTGGTTTTTATTGCCTTTATGGATTGATTCATTCTGGTTAACCCTCACAATGAAAGATTCTAGACATGGCTACAGTGGATTGAAGTATTTGTCTGTTTAAGCTTTTGTTTGTTTTTCACAATGAAGCTGTACATGCAGCCTGTTTTCCATAAATAGATTAGTTTTCCCTCAAAATGAATCAATTCACTCTACCTGGTAAAACACACACGCAGAATTGTCAAAGAAATTATAGCAATTGAGGATGAACATTTCTGTATCTAATAATGTCCCTATATTAAGGCGGAACAGAAGGAGCCGGCAGCTGTTTAACATTCAAGGCGCTTTGTGAATGTTTGCCTCCCTCTGCTTCCCTCTCGCTCTTCAACCTTTAGATGTTATATGTCAAAAAGTATTTGTTTGAGCAGTTAAATCTTGAATTGAACATGTTGGGTTTGCATATAATGAATTATCAGCTATCACTTTAGTCCAGACTGAAATATTTCTGGAATTATTTGAGTAAGATGTTTGCCATTACATTTGGTGTCTGACATTCATGGTTCTCAGAGGGCAACATCCTATTGAGTATGTGAAATGTTCTCAAATATGCAATGGATTGCAATGACATTTGCACACACATTTATGTCCCTGCAGATGAACTGTAATTACTTTAGTGATTACTTAATGTTTCCTCTAGTGCCATAGTCAGGGCAAAAGTTGAATTCATCCAAGATGTGGATGTTTACCCAAATATCTGTCAAACTAATCAACTTCTGCCAATGTGATGCATAAGTCATAATGTGCAACTTTAAATAATGAATAATTATTTTAAAATAAATTACTCTGTTTCTCAAAATAATGATGCAGTGTGAAGAATGTGTCTCAATATAAGGAGAAACAAAAAATAACAAATACTTATTTCAAAATAATGACTTGGTATTTGGAACAAATTACAACTTTCTTGAAAATAACAACTTTATCTCAAAATCAGAAAATGTGTCATAACTTATCTCCTCGAGAAATAAGCTTAAAGATAACTTTCTGAGACTTCTAGGATCTCTTTTTGTTTTCACAAAGCGAGGTTTTCATTTTGTTTATTACTTTTACTTGCAGAAATGTGCTTCCATCCTATGCGTTAAGTGCCGATTAGATAAAGTGAGTTTGCAAACACTACTGCTAAAATAAAGTTAAAAGAAATGTAGCCGCTTAACACCTGTATTCTATCATCTTAACTTTAACTAACACGTTAGCATGTTGATGGTATTTAGCGCAAAGCACAACCAGGTGGCCTCAGCTCACAGAGCAGCTAGCATGGTAAGATTCTCAGACCTGTTTAATGATACAAATCTGATCAGATCTGAGTCACATTTAAAGAGTTGATGACCATCAGTTTGTGTATCAATATACAAACACCCATCATTTTTGAACAGACTAGAATCTGAGATAGTGTCTGCGTGCTTTGCTTGTTATGCGCCGTGTGTGGTATGCAGATCTGTCTGTGTGTTGTGTATTTGGGCCCCAGCATTCCTGCTGACAGGCAGACTGCGGCTTCGGGTCTGAACCGGCCCTCTTTGTGGCTGTGCTCTGTTTGGACCTCGGCGGTGCCGAGTCATTTAGCCTGCTTATCTGTCAAAGTTAAGCCCCCTGATTTTCGACACAGCTCATTCCCATAAGGCATTGCTGGTTCCGTTTCAACCAAGCATTTATCTGTTTAGTTTTAAGTTGTCACTTCTCAGGGTTTAGAAATGTAGGCTACTGTAGTTAAGGTTCAGCTGCACAAATGAGCCACACTCTGGTTTTATTTAATGATGCAGTCAAGTGCTCCAGGTATATTAAAACAAATGGTACATTTAAGTTGGCTTTTACTATAATACTTTTTCATAAGCAGTGACAGAAGGTAACTAGGTAGGCTACATTTACTCTTTTCATGCTACTTTATCATATTTAGTTTCTTTTGTGGGTGTTCTTATATCTTTTTCTGTTGTTTCACATTTTATACATAAATGCAGAACAAACAAACATAACCAAAGGCATCCTACTTAAAGGCAGCAAACCCCTCCCCCCCGGCACCCCAATTCTTCTTACACACACACACACACACACACACACATACACACACACACATACACACACACATACACACTCGTATGTTTTTTATTTGTTGTAGTTTTCCAATATTAGCAATTACATGCGTTTCATGTGATCTATTTCAAAATGCTTGGCAGCCATACGCCTCACTCATGACAACTAACGCAGGTGTTGGAAACGAATCTTGCTTAATTCAGTTCATGATTTATGGGAAAGAAGTAAAAAATCCCATGTTTCATTAATTCAGTTACTATTCTAGATCAAGGCCTACTCCTCCCCCTTTAATATCCTGGGAATCAGGGCCATGATGTAGTTATGAAGGTGGGGCTAAATTGCTCGTTAAACAGGATTCAATTTGGTATGTGGCCATCAGTGAGGTTGAGGGATGGCTGAGGAGAGGTTTACACTGGGGATTGTGGGTGTAAAATGCCAGAGCACAAAGCAACCATGTCTCCCTGGCGTGAGATCAGAATGAGTCCAGAAGCATTAAGATTCTACCCTGCCTGCACCCTTTTTTCCTGTAAGTCCTGCACATGTGCTCTCCTGATGTCGGACACATGAATCAGCTGTTTGGCTTGGCCCTGCATTGACTCCAGCAGCAGGGAGGGAAGGGTCTGCACCCCAACTCCCTTTCTTCTCTCTCTGTGGATGTTTAATCATCGGGACATATTACCCCAGAGACCAGATCTGAGGCAACGGCCGTGATTGTCTAAAAAATCCAGTGAGCCCAAACAATTAGTGTCACCTTAATGATGCAACTCCGGCATTAATCCTTAGCAATAGAGCCTTTAAATCAACAAATCTCTGCCAGACTTACAGTGTGCCATCTTGTTTAACCTCTATTACCAAGAGAGCAATTTGAATTCAAGACACTGTGTTGTTGTTTTGCTTCCTTAACAACGACAACACTCAAAGGCCAGATAGTAAAGTCATACAGTGCTTTATCCACTGTCTCCCAGTACCACTGGTTTCCACTCCCTGTGTTTTATCCAGCAACAAAGAAGTCCTTTATGTCCCACTGCTGTTACGGTTTAATAACCTGTAGTAACACTACAGTTAAAGGATTCCACTACTTTCTGTTTTCCTTAACTACAAATCTTGTTTGAGTTGACCGATTAATCGATGCTGGAAAATGTTCAATTGTGCTCACAGTTTTTGACCGGCTGTTTCCCAAGACATGGCACCCATTGGTTTCTATACATTTCTGACCTCTTCTTTGATTTAGATTGATAATTTCTGTTACTGGGGAAAGTAACTGCGAAAATTGTACATTGGCACTTTGAATCTGAGGTGAGCTACCAATATCTGCCGGCGAAAACAAAAGTGCTTTACTCTACCTTTTTTGCAAAATGGTTGACGATCTTTGGGCCGCAAATCGATCCTTAATTTTTCTGAGAGATGGTACCTGGTGGCAGACAGAATTTCACGAAAAAAGTGAGGCAGATGTCGCCATAGTTCTATAGCCGGTACATGTACAATAAACATTTACTTTATGATGACAAGTAAAAGGAAAACATTTGTTTCTTACAACTTTAAGATTTTCTTTGTGACAGTGTTTTGTGTCATAGGACTCTAATACCTTGAATATTCTTCATAGATGAACACTTGGAGAAGGGCAACAAGTAAGTCAATCTCATCTCCACAAAACATGCCCTTCAAAAATAAGTCTGAAATATATCAGCTGAAGTGTGCTGACGTAGCCAACCCTGCGGTTGTCAAGGTAATGGGTGAAAATGGTTTGGTAATGCAGCCTCTGTCCTCCTGGAGTTCAGATTAGGCCTGCACCCCCCCCTCCTCTTCGGCTCTACCATCCATCTGTGTTGGAGCCAAACAGGACGTCTTATAACCCGAACACAGTGAACAGGCCAGAGTCCTACAGTCTTTCTGGAGCCTCTATAAACAGCCCCTGTACTCATAAATGTGTGCTCCTGCAGCATGATGGTTGTTCAAATGTAGATTGTGTGACTTTGTCATGTTACTAACCTGTTTAAAAAAAAATGTGTAGCAGAAAAAGCATGGGCTCGCTTTTTTGGCCTTCATTATAAAGATAGGACAGATAGAACGTAGGCAGGGATTGAAGGGAAGACCATTTCACCATTTCTGTGTCTAATGTATCTTCTCCTTATTAAAGCTTTTGCTGTTTGCTCCTACCAGTTTGAAGATCTCTTCCCAAAAGCTCCAACTCTTTTTCTTTGATCAAACGTTCTGCTGTTGTGGCAGTGCTGTGGTCAGGTTGAATTGGTGGCCAGATCCTGTCACACAAATTCCTTTTCATTCAGCAGGGACAGAAAGAAAGAGAGAAAGACAAAAAAAAGTGAGAGAGTGAGTCATAGGCTGGGGAGAGAAAGGAGGAGAGGGGGAGAGAGATGGAGAAAGCCGAGAGACATTTGTAGTTGAGTGGACGAGCACAGACAATCCCTGGCACACAGTTCTTTGAGTGTCATGTAAACCAACCCTCCGCTCTCACTTTTTGTCCCATTCACCGCCTGCCACCCTCCCTTCTCTCTGCTGCACCCTTTGGCCTCTTTGCTTTGGACTTGGGGCGGGGGGGGTTCGCCTATAAAAGCCCTGGTATTGCCCCGAGTGAGCTCCATTTCCCATCATGGAGAGTCAGAGAGTCCAGTCCTCGTACAGGAAGCGCTACGGGCCTCAGGGCTCCGGCAGCACAGGAGTCAGAATTGGGAGCCTTTCTTCCAGCCGCCTCTCCTGGCAAGGCACCCCCCGCAACTTCACCCACTCCAGCCCTGTGTCGCGGATCTCCTTGGGCTCAACGGGCCTGCTCCTGGGCAGCACCATGGACCGGCTGGATTTCCCAGCTGAATCCCTGATGAAGGCCCAGTACAAGGAGACGCGCACCAACGAGAAGGTGGAGATGATGGGTCTGAATGACCGTTTTGCCAGCTACATAGAGAAGGTGCGCCTGTTGGAGCAGCAGAACAAGGTGCTGGTGCAGGAGCTGAACCAGCTGAAGGTGAGGGAACCCAGCCGCATGGGAGACATCTACCAGGAGGAGCTGAGAGAGCTGCGCAGACAGGTGGACGGACTCACTTCTGGCAAAGCTCGGCTGGAGATAGAGAAGGACAACATGGCTGCAGATGTGACTATGCTCAAGCAGAGGTAGGATGGAGCAGGGTGGGACTCCTGGGGGTGGAAGCATGTTAGTGCAATGCACAGCCTCTAAAAGGGGCTTATAAGAAGACTGACTTTTGCTTTCTCACTTGTCCTTTCTGATGATTACATTACATTTATGTTAAAGATGGCACTTGACAGCAAAGCTTAATATGTTATATGTAAACGTAGTTGTGTGGACAGTAAAACTAGACATTCAAAAACTTTAAGACATATCATATTTTTTTAACCTCTTCAATGCATCTTGTTTTATGTAAAGTGGGACTTACATTTGTCCCTAGCTGGAGTTGGACACAAAACTAATTTTGGTCAACTTGGCATTGCATTAATGGTTATGCTCTGCAAATGTTACTTGGGGAATTTTTTTAATACTCTTACAGGAAAGTCAGTTTGCATATTTTAAAACACTCTCCGAACAGTTTGTCTGTTGCACAGCTGAGATCTTTTTCTTTTTTTAAATTAGGAATGCAATTATATGCAGATTTCCACAAATGAGACAGGCAGGCAGATGTTCTCTTGTCCCCTGTTACTGTAAAACTCCGATTCACTCCATGCGTATATCCAGGTTTTTAGTTTTTTTTAACTTAACTCTACTTGGTATGGATTTATTGTTAAAAATTGTCAGGAGAATAAACGATTTAATTTCCCTTGGGGTAAAATAAAGTTGTACTTCGGGCTCCTCTCAACTCTCAGCAGCTGCTGGTATCCTGAAAGATGTGAATATGGCCGTCGCTGTAAAGGTCACTATCGTGATTCAACTGCTTCCCTTGAACTCTGCATGAATCACTGCAGATGTTACCAAAATATGTTACTTGGTATTTATGTTGCTATGCCTCAGGCGGATTTCAGTGTTGTGTGTGTCTGTGCTTGAGGATGTATCTGCACACATGGACCCCCTTTTGTGCGTTTGTGTTTGTCTGTAAACTCCATCCCGTGGGAAAGTCCTCTGGCTGTTAGACTGGAGTTAGTGTGTAACGATGCATGAACTGCCCTTTCAGCTGAGCCCCAGTCGCCTCCTGAAGCTAGGGGAGCAGCACAGTAAAAAATATGATCAACATCTTTTAAATAGGTTTCTAGTTTTTATAGTTTGGCTATTATTAAACAGGACAGTCTCATTGTGCTTGTGTGCTTTTGCTACAGTCCCTTACTATCAGGCATAGAGCAAAGAAGACATTTGTCATTATTTAAAAACATCCCAAATAAATATATGCTAAAATGTATGTTGTGATATGAAAATCTACTGTAAATATTGTAGGCTTTCCTGTTAATTAAGAATTATTCTAAAATTTGTTCAGTATGGGCTTCAATATAACAAAATGTGTAGTTTTAAATATGCATTGTCCATGATCAGCTACTGTATGAAGGACTTTTATTTCACGCCTTTACTGCTTCTTTGTGACTTACCCAGGTTGCAAGATGAGATGGGTCTCCGACAGGATGCAGAAAACAATTTGAATGCCTACAGACAGGTAATTCAGTTGAATTTTCTCTAAATTCATGATTTTAACAATTCATACTTTCGTTTAGTCTGACTGGCCTCCTTTATCTCTCTATGTATCTCATTATTTGCATAGGATGTGGATGAAGCTTCTCTTAATCGTGTCCATTTAGAGAGGAAAATCGATGCCATGCAGGATGAGATAAACTTCTTGAGGAAGACTCATGAGGAGGTAAAAATTGAAATCTTGCAAAATAAACTTTAGCTATTGCTAACCACAATCAAGAACCTCATTTGAACTTGAATCAATTATTCACTACTGTTGTCTCTCTCAGGATCTGCGTGAGTTACAGGAGCAGCTCATGGCCCAGCAGGTGCATGTTGAACTTGATGTATCCAAACCAGACCTGACTGTTGCTCTGAGGGACATCCGGGTCCAGTATGAAACCATGGCAACCTCCAACATGCAGGAGACCGAGGATTGGTACCGATCCAAGGTCACGAGTCTCTCATTAAGTTGGCAGTACCGAGAATTAAAGTCATTAGAGTAAAATATCCTTGTGAGAAGATAGATACTCACAGGCTTTTTGCCTTTGTACAGTTTGCTGACCTGACAAACGCAGCCAATCGAAACGCAGAAGCCCTGCGCCAGGCCAAGCAGGAGGCCAATGAATACCGGCGTCAGGTCCAAGTGCTGACCTGCGATGTTGAGGCTCTACGAGGAACAGTAAGTCCACTCGACCACAGAGAAGACAGTATTTGAGAACATAACATTAGTCTTATCCAGCTCTAGTAAGATTTAAATTATGCTGCTTCTTCAATCAAATATTTAGTATACATTTGGGCACATATTCTCTACCGGAAACCTTACACTTGAAATATTGTTATGATATATTTTGATGCCACATAATAACAGCTCATTCAGACAGCATCAAGACTCATTTTTGTTGTATTGGTTCTATACAGAGATGGGGACTCGAGTTTGTGACTCGGACTCGAGTCGCGCTTAAGTCGCACACACAGAGACTTCAGACTTGACTTGGACTCCTGCTCAAAATACTTCGGACTCGACTTGGACTCGTGTTTTGGGACTCGTGAACAATCATTGTGTTTTCTATTTTTGGCGTATTAAAGGTGGGGTAGGTAAGTTTGAGAAACCGGCTCGAGATCGCTAGAATTTGAAAATACACAACCGGAGAAAATCTGCCACTTCCTCACAGAGCCCCTCCTCCAACACACACGAACGCGCCAATGAGGGCACGAGATAAATTTGTGCCCCGATGGAAGGCTGACAGGCAGGTAGTCCATCCAGTTATTATAGCCGGGCCGGCTAAAATAATTGGTCGTGCTTTTTACAGTATTACGGCTTCCACAGATGACTTTTTTTAATGGATTTTTTGTCAAAGCACTTATGGACGGTTAGCAAACATGTTTAGCTCAGCATCAGCTATGTAATGTTAACTTAGCTTGCTACTAGCTTTGTAACTGAATATTTGAAAAGATGAGTGAATGTTTGCTTGTCACACTTGTTTGCGTTGAGTGGCGTTGACATCCAACTCTTGACATGACATAAAAAAGGTCGGTAACGTTAATCATTACGTTCCGCTGCCACCGGCCACTGGCTAACGTTAAACGTAGAAAAATACATAGTTACATACATAAATACATCTGTCGGTTTATAGACAGGTACAGGTTTATTGTTGACCACGTAACGTTAATGTTACAGGTTTATCAGGTTACCATTACACTGGGTTTGAGTGAGAGGATAGAGGAATATGTTTATTTATAGTAGACTTAAAAGATGTAATTAGAGACCCAATGTAATTAAACAATACGGTTGCAGAGGTCAAATTTTAACATTTTTGTCCACTGGCCAAATGGCTAGCCTAGTGAATGTTGAAATGTTACCAGCCACTCAATAGATTGCCATTGTTATTTTTGGCTGGTGCGTGCAACATACAGTACCAGCCACTTGCATGATTTACCAGCATTTGGCTGGTAAATAGTGTTAATGGTAGATATCTCTTTTGGAACAGGTCATGTTTTAATATCACCAGTTCAGTATATTTCAGATAATATTGCAGCAATAGTTTTTTAGTTGCAAATGGCACAGAACAAATGTTTACTTTTAAGTACTTTTAACACAGTTTCCCTGCGGGGGATTAATAAAGTATTTGTGATACTGATTTCTGATTCTGAAGTGTTTTGCTTATAAGTTGTTTGCATTTAGCTAAAGTGTGATGTTTTTCCTCATATTGCATTGCAATAGCCTGTTTAAAGTGATCATATAACAAACAACTAATCAGTACTGATACTGTATGCTAATAGATGTAGGAGTGATAATAATACAGTAAATGCTTTGAATTTCTTAGATATAGCTGTGCAGTATTCTTAACAGACTGGATAGCAGCAGACAATAGAAGGCTTATTACAACCAGAAGAGACATGAGACTTTTATTTTTTAGAGACTTGAGACTTGACTTGGACTCGTGACCAAAGACTTGAGACTTGATCAAGTCTCACCCCACAAAGACTTGAGACTTGACTTGGACTCGTGACCAAAGACTTGAGACTTGACTTAGACTTTCAAAAAAAGACTTGTGAACATCTCTGGTTCTATATAATATGGAACTGAAATTAAAAGAATGAGCCCTAGTTAGAGCTTGCGTGTAAAAGTGTTCCCATTTGTATACCATTTCCTATTTCTGAGGGGTCTTATGGACAAACAGTAAACACAAATGTTGTAACTGCCTTAAGTCAATGACCTAAATAGTGCTATTTAAAAATAATGTTAAGTTGGATGAAGATCATAACACTGATTCAGCAGTAAGTGCCAAAATAGAAGCAGGGAGGGATTAGTGAAAACTTTGTAGTGGTAGGTATTAGATTTATAAAAGCAGACATAGCAGTCGAGGTACATGTAACATTAATAACAAATAAAAGATGTGTGTGGTTGAAATGTAACATAAGAGTGTGAGTTTAGTAACCTCAGTCTGATGCATCAGATGTTGGTGTTCATCTCTCCGTCTTCTCTCTCCTCTTTCAGAACGAGTCTCTGGAACGTCAGCTCCGGGAGATGGACGACCGCTTCGCCATGGAGACATCTGGTTACCAGGATAGAGTGAGCCATCTGGAGGACGACATCCACTCGCTGAAGGACGAGATGGCCAGACACCTGCAGGAGTACCAGGACCTCCTTAACGTCAAGCTGGCCCTGGACATCGAGATCGCCACCTACAGGAAGCTGCTGGATGGAGAGGAGAGCCGGTCAGACACAGCTTTGTTGGTTTAGCACCACCAACATTTAAAAAAAACAAAACTAAATATTATCTTTTCTTTTTCCTTCAGGATCACCATTCCAGTTCAGAGCTTTTCTAACCTGCAGTTTAGAGGTTAGTAGCACATACAGTATGACCCCCTTTTTTAATCTAGGGGATCAAGGGGTCATCGAAATCATTAGTAAAAACTGTTTAAATATCCATAATAGATTTGGTCTTTTCCCATCTCTTTCACCCAACCTTTCCAAAAAGGCATTCACAAAATATTTTTTATTTCTTTAGGGGCAATCACAATAGTATATTCACTCTTACTGTGTTAAATGTGTAAACTATAATACATGGCATCAAAGAGAGGATAACAAAAAAATGTCTACACTACACTAACTGGAGTCTTTTCATCTTTTAGAAACTAACCTGGACACTAAAACCCCAGAGGCCCACGTGAAGAGGAGCATCTTGGTTAGAACCGTGGAGACTAGAGATGGGGAGGTATGAGCTTCTACAGAACATTCCACTGAAGCAAACAAAACTGCACATTGCACCTCTCACCTTACCCTCTGGAGGGCAATGTTGAACCCTTCTGCAGGTTTTCACACTCACTCACTGTCTCACAGCACACCTGATGCCTTTTGTAGCAAAAACTCACTGGGGAGTCGTTTGTTGTCTCTATTTTTAACTCTGTTGTCTTTTATTTTCAGATCATTAAGGAATCAACAACTGAACACAAAGATCTTCCTTAAAGTTCGACTTGTCTCAATCTGGGATTATTACTTATTTGTTTTGTTTCCAAACCCCAAAGCTCCCCCATCAGTGCATCATTTCATGTTTCTCTCCTTTCATCATCACCTGCATGCTAATCTATTCAACAACCCATGACTTAACTATTAAACTCTCCTAGACTTCCTCATTAGAACTTCTGCAAAAAACATCTATGTTCAGCTCTTATACAGCTGTTAGCAGGATGTAGGTCACTCATATTAAAATGGTATGTACCATTTTGTTCTGTTCCAGTGAAAACTCCAGGAAACCACTGGCAACCTGTTTAATTTGAATTTGTTAGCACGGTTTCAGATTAGCTGCCATAGAGAAGGCCTTAAAACGTAGCAATTGTCTTAAGCTAATATGTAGCATGGTCGAGGTTGACATGTTATGAGTATGTGAAATGTGGCAAGGGAAGTACCAGAGGGAGTTTGGGTTTGCAGACACCAGAATTGGATAGCGGTGGGAAATAAGAGTTGTGTGTATGTTAGAGCATCTTTTGGCAGAAGGACAGGTGAATTTGGGCTCTTTTTTTAATGTTATGCCTCTGCTTGTGTGTTAAAGCTTGTATAGCCTGCACAGGTGTTTCAATGAGTACACCTCACTTCGGGCTGATTACACGTGTGCTTAGATAGGAGACGAGTGGAAATGATCAAACAGCTAATGTGTACTTTTTCACTTTTTACAACCACAAACCTCTCTAGAGCCAAACAGTCTGCTATGGCTGCTTTTGATGGGTACATTTGTAAAAAAGTCAGTGTTCTGTAGACATTAGAGCTGCGACAGTTAGTCGAACAATAAGTTGCAGCCGTAGTAAACATTTACTAAATCGTAAAGACAGATCAGACAGAGACAGAGACAGCTGACAGGCAATCAACATAAAACCACTGCAGAGTCTATATTGATCAAAGCTATGATGTTTTCTGTGAGTTTTTGACAGAATTGATTTCATCACCATTCAGTAGTTTTATTTAAAAGAAACAGTGTTGACTGACAGTTGCTGAATGTTTGCATCTTCTCTACAGAGGACACTGACCTTGGCATCCATATTCTGTGATGTTACATACATATAAAAGGTGTCCCATCAACAGGTGCAACAAAACTCACAACAGACGAGTGTGTGAAAACCTATGCAGTCCTGAGAGGAAGTCTCATGAGCCAAAATAAACAGCTGTGAGTGTGTTTATACTTTCTCCCTCGCCTTCTGCTCTTCTGCCTTCTCCATTCATCGCAGCTGTTGGTATCCTTTGTCTCTCACACAACCTGATAAGACATTATTTGACACAAGGATGCTTCAGAGTATAATCAAGCAAGCGTGATAGGGACAGAGCCAGGTTGGAGGTGTGGAGAAACTGTTTGGATACTGACTTGTCCTCCAGCCTCCAATAAATCTCCTCCAAATTCCCAGGCCAATTTCTGTTGTGTTTGACTGATAGCAGCGAGAGAGTGCTTTGGAGATGATCTCCACCAAATCCCAAAGCAGTAGAAACTATAAGGTTTGTTATAAAAGTGAGGATGCTGGGGTTAGAAGTAAAAGGAGGCTGCGAAGGAGGACGATTGATTGACCTTTCCAGCAAAAACACTGTAATCCATGCTTCCTGCCTGGTTAGAAGTCACGGCACGCTGACTGAAGCCGTGTTACTGACAGCTGGCCTCGCCTCTAATGAGTGCTGCTACACTGAAGCTGGCTGTTGCTGTGTTCGTTGCCAAGGACATGCTGTGATTTGAGTTGTGCCTCCCACCCTCTCCCCTCCACAACTTCCACTGCTGTCACTCAACCCCTTCTCCCAATAACATGCAGATTTCTACTGTATTCCCTCTTTGTTTTTTAATATTGATCTTAGATGGATGAATCCTGCATATTCTTATGGAAGAAACATTTGCAGATGGAAATATAACATTAGTATTGACCGATGCTACGTAATGTTTACTTGACAAGAATAAAACATTTTGTCTGTTAGAGTTGATGCCTCTTGTTTTGATTCTTACACTTTTTCATTCATTTTTCAAAATAGTTCATATGTGTGTAGTCTTCTTTTTTGGCTTATGGTTCAATACTGACACATACCATTCGAAAGTCCAGCATTGTTCAACAACAAAAGCTTGATTGGGTGCATTTAAGGTTTATTTTGAACATAGAGAACAAAACGCTCTATAATGGCTAGTCACACTTGAAATGAGACCCAAATGAACCCCTGACAGTTGATTATTAAACACCTGAATATTTACGGAAGCTTTTTCCTGCTATGGGTTACATTTTTCAAGGGATAGTTATAGAGGAATTTGATTTGTTGTGTCCTCATATATACTTCTTGTACTTTGATTAACTTTGTGTCACTGCTTAAAGGATAGATCCACACTTTCCCATGTTTGTTTTAAAAGAGTTACAGGTGCACATATGTTCAATGACAAAGATTGTACTTCCTGTAGCCCAAGTGATGGAGGAGACAATTCACAGCCTCCAGTATGTGCAAAAACAATTAAGAATCTTGAGAAACACATTTCTTACTGGAATAACATTATGATGTTTTTTAACAGCCAACAGGGAGAAATGATTACAGAGAGCAAAAGCTATTTCAATGTCGGAAAGTGAGTTTAATTTGACAGACCTAGCAAATCTTGTGAATCAATTTTGTAGGTTTTATGTTTCTCCCTTTGTAAACATATATCCTTTTTACGAGCTGTTGCACACTCTTTGAATCATCTTGGGTGTCATTAACTACCTTTCCTTCACATCACATACTAATATATCTCTCAAATTAAAATAGTTTGAATCAACTTAAAACATCCAGTATGGTGACTGCTCTGCTGTGAGTATTCAGGCAATGTAGTAGAAAAATACTGCAATACAATAATATACAAATACATATCAGCCTGATATCAGCCAAACTAGAAATGTAGGTACAAGTTACTTCAAGGCTTTTAAAGACCCAACATGTTAGTCCAGGATTAAGCTTTCCATTGCAGGTGATAGTGGTACTTGAATAAAAACATGAAAACCTTACATATAATGCATCATTCTATGGGATGATGTGTATTGAAGTGTAAGTCGAAGTAAAGTGTCACTGAGTGTGAAGTACAGTCAGGGCCGGCCCTGACCAATTTGCTGCCCTAGGCAAGATTTTAGCTGGTGCCCCCCCCCCCCAAATGCAGACACTCACTATGACTCGCGCATGAACGGTTGTGGCATGACCACCAAAACAGAAAGATATGGACACAAGATGTGTGCAACTGTATATAGTATCCTATCCATTTGAACATGATTTAAGTGAGGGGGGGACCTCACTTCCTCTAGTATGCTCCCCCGGGAAGACTTTTTTTTTAATATTGAAGTTAAAAGCATCAATCTGGTGCACTTTGAGAGCAACATTAAGAGATCTATGGATACATCTCTCAACACCCATATGAAACAGAACTGTAAGCAGATTTTCTTTTTCTTTATGGATATTTTAAAAATCACTCTACTTTCAAACTGTATTCTTGTTTACTAATAACAACTTTTTTGTACTGTCATATAGTATTTTATACCTGTTTTTCATTTATTCTCTTATTTTGTTATAACTATAATGATCATATAAAGGTGTGCCTTTACCTCACTGAGCTGAGGTTATCAGAGCCTCTCAGTCTTTCAGGAGAGAGCTCTCTAAAGCTCTCCCCCCGCGGCCGCTTACACAGTAAATTCCAATGTTAATAAAAGCACACAGAAGCTGTATACGTTTTTTGGGAGTTTGATTTATTTTAAATGAACACAAATACAAAATTAAAACCTATAATTGCACACTAAAACTATTATTTTAAAAAAAGAACAATTTCACATAAACCTCTGGTTTTTACTGGGGCTGGCTGGGGTGGTTCAACTTGATTTTTTGGGGGGGGTGTGCCATAGTTTATGGGCGCTGTACGCAATATAGGCGTAGTTCTGTTAGTATAAGATAATAAGATGTACTTTGTTGATCCAAAATTGGGAAATTGTGTTTTTTTTATTTCTAACTTTTTTTTTTACCCCCAATTTTCGGCGCCCCCTATGGGTTGATGCGCCCTTAGCATTCACCTATACTGCCTATGCCGAGGGCCGGCCCTGAGTACAGTGTCTGTTTTGCCCAGCTCTTATCAGAGGAATGGTGGGTCTCAGGTCTGCACAGAAGTTGACCCTGAACTGAAGGAATTTGAGGCAGATAAAACTCTCAGGCGGTTGAGGATCTGCTCCTGACGTATAGCTCTGAAAGAATTTCCCGTCTACAGTCGTTGGGAAGGGGCAACGATGGGCATTTTCCTTCTCATTATCTTTCCACAGCGGGTGCGAGGTGACAATAGCTGTCATGCAAGCTATAGAAAACATGAATACACAGAGTCATCCAATCCCATTAGAAAATGCCAACACTTTTTGTTGGAGTAAACAAGCATGGACTTCCAGGAAGTGTAGAGGCATAACCTAAATATCTTTTGCGATATTAAGATTGCCATATGGTTTGCTATCATGAATTAATTCCTTACTTTCCTAATGAATGGCTTATTATGGTTGCAGCAATAACTTCAACATACTGGAAAGTGCATACCCCAGATTCACAGTTTGTTTAATTAAACATTTGAAATGTTTGTAAATGTTTATCTGCGCTGAGCCGACATCAAAGATAAAGTTGAAACAATAGGTAGATTAATTGTTCGATACATAATTCACCTGAGGCTCTTTTGATAACTTAATTAATAATTATTATAATATATATAATTATAATATTAATATAATAATTAATATTTCAAGCACAAATGCCCCACATTTACTTGTTCAAGGTACTCAGATTAGATGTGCCGCTTTTGTTTATTTTATGTCACAGTAAACTAAATATAGCTGTTGTATAAGAAAAATATTTGTTGTATTTTAAAATCTGAAGATGTCACCTTAGGTTTCAGGAAATGGTGTATTGCATTTTTAAACATTTGCTGAATATTTCAAAATCTAACAAGCATAATTAAAAACTTCTGGATAACCTCTACAACTGCAAAAAAAACATTCAACTTTTAAGTTTAGAATATCCTGCTGACTCATAAACACCCAAGCAAAACCTCAAAAGGGACAGAAAATAACATCTTTAGTAAATACATAAAAATTGAACTTCTATGATTGATTTTTTAATTATCTAAATGAACAGATATCACTCGGATTCTGAACAAAGTCACACTTATTATCCAGTGTTGGAGCCAACACCTTTTGTCTTTATGGCTCTTTGTCTTTCGCTGCCCTCTCTGCACAGTCCTGTCCTACTTGGCTCTCACACTAAGGGGTCAGGAGATGGCATGTTGGCTCTGGTTAATTTTAGCCTTCATTTTATCAAGGCCATTGAGACAAAACACAGAGCAACCACCTCAACATGTGAAGCCACTCTCCCTCTGATCTCCAAACACCCTTTACAGACTGAAACCTGTCAACAAACACATAAGCTAATGATGTTTCTTTGGACAAAGTGGAGTGATGGCTTCTTAAGGTCAACAACCTTCACGCTTAAAGGGTCATGAATGGCTCAAAATGGTGTCTATCTTTTTTTGTACTAAAGTGTTTTATTTGTCTTTCAGATTATCCAAAGTGGAAAGACAGGGAGAAAAAGAAAATGTCTGAGGCATCCATCTTTTACAGTAATATTAATATTTTTTTATTGATTGCTAATTGGCGTATAATTAGACGGCACAGCCAAGTTTTTTGAAATCTTTCTTTCCATTTAAGCAGTTTAAAGGGGACCTATCATGCAAAATGCACTTTTGTACGTCTTTTATACATGAATATGTGTCCCTGGTGTGTCAGGGAACTCACCAAGTGTCAGAAAACACAACCCTTTCTCTTTTCCTCCATACCCAAATCTCTAAAAACGGGGCTGCAACGGAGCTGATTATTATTTGAATTTTTCTGACGTCAGAAAAAGGGTTCTCCGCCTATATGGGCAACTCTCCACCTATCAGGGGAATGAGACACCGCTCGAAAGCGCTGGAGACGCTGTAGTACATATGCCAGGCCTGTAAGTGGCGCTGTAGTCTGCCACAAAAGAAGAATCAGCCCTTGCAAAAACAGGGCTGGAAAAGAGCAAATAGAGCGAAATGAGGCATGGCTAAAATGCATGATCTGTTTGGTATTTTGAAAAAAAAAATTCACAGACATGTTTTATATGGCCCTACAATATATGTTTCAAATATAGCATGATAGGTCCACTTTAAGTAAAGCTTTCATGTTTTTGCCACATTGGGACAGAGATCCCACGGTACTCGGCCAAATATTGATATGATTGCAAAAGGTTCAATGGATATACGATGCAGTCCATGTACCATAACCTTAAAATGTATTACTTGAAGTTTAGTTCATGTTCATTAATGTAGATTGCCATATGTCCTCGGAAAGTCCTCTAAGTATATTCCTCTTGTGAGGGGTGAAAAATGTTGTGAGTTGAGAGGAGAGGGAATTTTGCAAATAATCTCTTTAACAGCTGCATGAGCAATAATGATGGCCTCTATTTGAATCATTTAACTTATAATAGATCTCAGATATCCACTCGAATAATAATATTAAGGATTTTAGTTCAACGCTGATGCAGCATCAGTGTAGTTCATGCTGTTTGAGACACAGTGAGAGAGACAGTGAAATGCGATAGACTGGCCTGTAAAAAACACTCAGCCAAGATGTTCAATCAAACTCTTCGGAGGGAGATATTCCCAAATAAAACCAAAAATCTGTTGTGTGTGTGTGCCCGCGTGCCCGTGCACCCGTGCGCCCGTGCGTGTGTGCGTGCACGTGAGTGTGTCAAGAAGCCACTTTAAGCCCCCCTCATATGACCTTTAGGTAAACAATTGAAACTCCTAGCCTGGATGTCTGCTGTGTCTCTGAATACAGAGCTTGAGCCAGCTATATGTCTCCTTTTTGGGTTCAGGAAGATGTTTGTATTAAATTAAAATCACAATACTCAAGTCCAGGTCAAAGCTGTTGAATATTTTTCAACAGCTTTCGGAAAGATTTAAAGGAGACAGGATTACACACACACACACACACACACACACACACACACACACACACACACACACACACACACACACACACACACACACACACACACACACACACTCAAAAGACTGCACACAAGGGTGGCATTTTAAAGCTTATCATCACTGATTGATATACTCCAGAAGTGTGATGGCAGCCACAGACAGAGAGAGGCTGCTGCTATTTTGAGCTCAGAGACTTGTGATGTTGAGTGAAGCAGAGTAGACTGATGAGGGTCTGCACTCTGTCAGTGTCAGATCACTGTGTCAACTAATCACAGCTAGTGTAAACATCACTTCAGGACAGGGATTTCAAAATAAAACATCCCTTAATTTAAGAAATATTAATTCATGTTCAGTCCAAACATCTCAACATATCTCCCCTATTCTTTGATAACCTCTAAATGTAATAAAGCATACCATTATATATTTAAAAGTTCTCACTTGCAAAAGATTTTGGGGGCATTTGAGGGCAGTTTTACAACACTGAGACAGTGCATCTTTAAATATGACCAAACATTATATACATATATGTATTATATATAATTTATGGAATGGGGGGTTGTTGCCCCATGTGTAATGCTTTAAAAAGCATAAAAGTGGTCTCTATTTGTTGAGATTATTCTACTGAATATGTGCAAGTATCAGAATCATTTGTTTACCAAAAAGCTTATACTATTTATTCTTTTTCCTCATAGGCTATATACATTTAAAAGATTAGCAAAAATGGCTACTAAACTACTGGTTATCTAATTCAATCAGCTTCTGAATATGTTTTGTAAACCCTAAATCCACAAATTAAAATGTTCTGACTCAAAATAAATTCCTCTAGCTTGAACATATTTGTTATAGTATAATAATAGTTGTTATGGTATTCGTTTTAAATAAATAAAAAACGTTTTTGGTGAAAGAAATGGAATAAATAGACCTCTATTTTGAAAGTGTGACAAAATTGACTTCCGTTTTTGACCTGGATAACAGGCTGACTCGTCGCTGCTGCCAGCCGCTCCGGGGGGAGGTGAAGGGGAGTGGATCAGGGAGTCTGGTCTGAGAGGAGCTTCTTCTCTGCCCTAAGGATCGTGCAGTGGCCAAACTTGAGAGAGAGAATACTGAGATAATATTAACAAACTGAGATATCCCGGCTTTGTTCTCAACTTCTTCTCCCTAAACAGGTTCCGTCTTCTCCCTTGGGAAGACAAAATCGTGTGGGAGCTGTTTTTTTTTTTTTGGCGTAAGAGATGTTGAATGGGGTTTTTGCAGTATCCTAAACTACTTTTAAAGCATTTACTGCGTCTTGCATCTGCTATCATCCTGGCAACCAGACCTGCTCTCCATCCTCTTCATCCCTCACCATCAGTTGCCTCCTATCCCTGATTTTTGACGCTCCAAGTGGCTACAGGCTGTTTTCTCCACAGGTGGCACTTCATTACCTGCTTTCTATTCTATTTTTACTTTTTTAGTTAGGTTTATGTGTCGGGGAAATAATGCCTGTGAGACGCGGCCATGTGGCGCTCCAGAACACCTACCTGGACACTATCATCAGGAAATTCGACGGTCAGAGTAAGTAGGCTACACATGATTAGTTGTGAACATGTCATGCTTTCAGAGTTAGGAGGACACACACACAGGTGCACATTGTGATTATAAAACAAATAGTTCTCAGTAGGATATTTTGTATCTATTTTAAACTATTCAGATTTAGCCATATTTTTTCGATCTGTTAAGGGTCTGCCAGACCCAAACTGGTGTGCTTAAAAACTTCATAAAAAGAGACCTCCATTAGTCACATTTCTTGAGAACTGCTAACCAATCCTATATATTTAAAACACATCAAGGGGCCCCAATTTGTGCTAGTGGTTATAATCAGTAGAACTTGGGGGCCAACAGTATATGGATTGTAAACAAATATAGCATTTTTGCGAATGGAACTGGATTGAATGTACTTTTAAATTAAAGTAGCCAATTGTTTAATGTGTGCAAAACGTCTTCTTTATATGGTGCCAAATACCTTTTATTTATTTATTTTATTTTGACTGCGGTTGCCTGAACAGATGAGAGACGGGTTGGCTTTTAATTAATGTTACATAAATCAGCTTTGTGTCAGGGCCATTAACAGCCCTCTCCCCACTGTTTGAGGTGTTATTCCACCTGAATGTGTTTGTGTGTAATGTAATTAGCTCAAATGTTCCACTGAATGCAAAGAGAGACCACCGCTCACGCATTTAGGAAGAAAAAATTCAGATGTTGGATTGGTCATTTACATTTCTTTAGTTTTTATATTGTTTGTTTATGTTACAAGTATTTCCAATTAAGTATACAAGTCAGCCCAATTTACGCTTTGTTTTCTCACACATGTACCCCTTAACAACCTCACTATTGACAAATAACAATGTTGTGGATTTAGGGCTGAAAATAACCCTGACATCCTGAGCAGATTCTGACCCAAAATGGAGATGTGCACGGCCAGGTGAGGGCACATGCCACAGCAGTGCTGCTTAGCAACCGTGTGACGATCAGTGTTTCTGCTCTGAGCCCCAGATATAATGACTTTGGACAGGATGAGATGTCAACCAGCGGAGCTCACCCATTTACTCTAAACAGAGGGACTGAGGGAAGAGTCCCCTCCACGCATTTGTATAGGTCATCGGTTTCAACCATTTCCACCACACAATATTAAAAGGGTCAGTCAGTGGATAGGCAAGTACTTTTAAAACAGCTCACACTACTCTATTAGCAAGCTTCGAACAAAACTGTCCTACTTCACTTTCATGGTGGACAATGTTTCGGCATGCTTTTGCAGCTGAAACATATATTACAATCATCAATAACAGGAGCTGGATAGTATATTAGCTTGGAATTACTATTAAGGATTTTTTCTGAATGCAGAGTCGAATACTCAAAAGTTTGACATTGCAGGAAAAAATATTTCTGTGGTCCAGTTTCCAGCAGTAGTAGTTTTGATGGTTTACTTAAGCCAAAGTAACGATAAATCAATGGAAAATATTCCACTAGTAAAAGTACAGAAATAATTTGACCTCAATCAAAAAATCAAAGTTCTGGCAACAAATCTCTCTAATTCTTCTTTATTATATAACTGCTTCTTTGGTGCAATTCTTGTAAGAATGAGCTGTGTGGGCATTTAAATTGATAAATAACAATAATCTCATGAAATTATATTCCTATATAGAAGTAACAGTCGGGGCCTTTGAAAGAAAATAGAAACAGTATCAGTCAAATGTCAGATAACATTTTGCAAACAACTTGTTAATTCCCTCAAGTTACTTGAGAGCAGGGAAAGTATGGGATTTGAGTGACAGCCCAGTCCTCCAGCGATTGTACAGTGCAGTGCGGTAGCTGAGCATGGATACCCCAGAAGAACCAGCATTTCAATTATTATAATACTACAAGTGAAAATATATGTAAGTATTGATCATTTGTGTTGTTTGTGCTGTACTATACGGTCTGTTTCTTTATTGTGTTAAGTGAGAAGTAAAGAAAAGCTGTGCTATGAAAGTTAGATTTAGCTACCTTTAGATACATAACAATGCAAGCTAAGTAGCCTCTAACAGCAGGGACAGTTAGCTACATAGCTAGCAGTGAGTGAGCGTTCAGACACCGGCACACACACTCAAACGGACTGTGCCTACCAACAGGCTTTCATGATTCTGTTTAGATATGCAAGTATAAGCCATGATAGCTTATTTTATTAACACGCTAATTTGATATAAAAATCAATGGAGGCTGAGTTTACTTATTCTCTTTGTAGGAAAACCTACCATCCATGACTGCCACTGAGCTGAGTTTTATTTGTTAACTTAATATTTTTCATTTCCTAAAGCATTTATTTCCCTCTCATATTAACAGTGTGGATCATTGAGACAGCGTGGTGTCCAGAGGTCTTATCCCGTTTTCCCACTTCCTCTGAGGGGACAGCATCAGATCCACGGAGGGGGGGCATGAAGAAAGACCTGCACCATCTTCATCCACGCTGGGCGTTGCTGTTATCACTTGCTCAGTGTCATTTCATTTGACCAAATGTCTTTACATATACATTCATCTTCTGGTTAAAATTAAAATGTTTATAATCACTCTTTTGTCTGTATTCTATGTGAAAATGTTAGATATTCCATTCAAATCTGTTGATTATTCATATCTTCCTCAGGAATAGTTTTATTTTTGAAATTACATTTATTTTTGCTTGATTTTGCTTTTTCTCTCTTAAACTCTTAGTTTTGCTTGATTCTGAGAAAGTGTTGCTTTATCTTTATGAAACAAAACTAATCTCATAGACCCACAAATAAAAGTGCCAACATCTTCTCCTCAGTCTATCGGGGGAAAATATGACATTAGCACCATGGAGTGGTAGACTTTAATCAGATCCACTTAAGCTGATTGTCGAGAGGAGACCATGCAGGACATTTTGAAGTGTGTTTGATTCAATCAAACCGTGTACGTGCAATTGTATTGTGAACATCCTTAGGATTGATTTATTATAAATGTAATGTTAAAGAAAAGCAGTACCTTTTTTACATATTCAAAAAATAGATAAAGACCAGTAGCCTATCTGAATTTGTTCAACATCATTTTATTATTTCTTACTATATGAAATATTATTATTACATATAAATGTTTTTGCATGTAACAGTAAAGTTTGCAACGCTCAAAACAGAGCTAAACAAACCAACACCATTAGCATTCATAGCATTAGCTTAATGAAAGTGTGTGTGTGACATAGCCAGTGGCGGTTCTAGACCAATTTGACTGGGGGGGGCCACTGGGGGGCCAGTTATTTTCTGAGGGGGGCTCAATAAATGCAGGACGAAAAAGAGAACTAGACAGTATGAAGTAATTGCGCATAAGAAAACAATGCAATACAGTTATTGGTATTTGTTTCAGTACACTTATTTATTTCAGATTGATCTTATAGTTATTACTGTTAGCTTCAGCTTAAGTTATAGTGCAATGTTTGCACTAACACCATATTTATATAAAAATAAAGGCAATGAATAGTTACATCTCTACTTTACATAAGGGTATCTGCACAATTTCACATTACAGCAACAAAATCCTGCGTTTTTTGGCAAACCGAGTACCAGAAAATATACATTGAAAAAAAAAAAAAAGAGAAGACTTTTCATTGTTACCCACAGGGGGGTCAGAGGTCAGTGTTAGGGGGGCACTGGCCCCCCTTGCCCCCCTAGAACCGCCCCTGGACATAGCAACAGCTAACCATAGCTAAATCTAAACTCCCCAACTCTTTATTTCAAGATTCTTCCTAAGGCAACTAATTAATGGACTTTGACAATCCGAAATTGTAAGTTATTCAGTTTTCACATAAACAAGGTAGCAGTTTAATGACAAAAAGTAGCCTAACAGCAGTATAACTGCTAACAAATACTAGCTATCATAGCAAAGCAACATTAGCTATAACTGCCATCTCAGGCCAGACACCATGGAGGTTTGAAGAATTTTAAAGCAAAATACCTTGTTCCAACCCTCACTATGGGACATAAAAAAAATCACTGCGCATGTTTTAACATTGATTTAGTTCCATAACTGTAATATGACTTCTGCCCCTCAGATCGCAAGTTCCTCATCGCCAATGCCCAGATGAAGAACTGTGGCATCATCTACTGCAATGAAGGCTTCTGCCAGATGTTTGGTTTTGCCAGGGCGGAGATCATGCAGCAGCCCTGTACCTGCCAGTTCTTGGTGGGGCCCGGCACCATGAAGAGTGCCCTCGCCCAGCTGGCTCAGGCCCTGCTCGGCTCCGAAGAGCACAAGGTGGAGATCCTCTACTATGATAAGGAAGGTAAGACACTGGAGGAAAGGCAGAGTTGCAACCTCAGATACCTGGGGTCACAGTCCCAATAATCAGTATGTTTTGCTATCCAACTTCAACCAAACTTTTAAATCCCGAATATTAATGAAAAAAAAGTGAAAAATGAATTGTATCCACCAGATTATTTGTAACGTGCTAACTGGCTTTTGTGAGAACATGCTGTTGTTTTCTGTTTAGGAAAGCCAAATTAGAGATGAAACACAGTTCACAATTCAAAATCAGTGAAAAGTTTGATAATCAGGCTTTAAATCATAGAGTGTGTCAGTGTGTTCTCAGCACAGCTTCCCCAGCAAACACACGTTATGTTTTTTTTCTTTGTTCCGAACCTCCAGTATTTATTCATAAATTTGTTTGTATAACCCTAATCCCTACTCTACTCCCTCTTCAATATCGGTCCCATGCTTTTCTTTTCATATTTTCCACCTGTATTTTCTACAGTGCAAAGCTTGGGTTTTAGAAGAACATCTTTGTGCAAACTAAAATGTAGTTGTCATAGTTTGGAAAACAAGAAGGAATGAAAAGTGTAGAGATGGGGATATTAGATTTGTAAGAAATAACAGAGTAAGAACGACATTTAAACTTGTCAATCGTGGTATTTTATTGAACGCTCCTTCCTCTCAAAGCTTAATTTCCCTTAGACTCTCTCTGACTTAATCTCAATGCTGCTGTCAGTTGCAGACTGAACCTGTGCTCAGGTCTGCATTTTGCCCTATTGATCTCTTTCACCTCCTTTTTCACCTTGTTATCTGCCAGACGCACTGAGGCAGAAACACATGATAGGGGCAAGCAAACATACCAGGCTCAGGAAGATTACTGTCATCCACCATAAACACAAGTACATTTACTGTTTACCTACACAGATACACACACATGTTGCAACTTTGGACATGTGGGCATGGGCAGTCTATGGCACTGTTGTCATGGAAATGCGATCAGCATGCAAGCTTAAATCCACTAAGCATTTACGTATTTGTTTTGTCTCATGCTCCCTGCTGTGATTACAGACTGAAGAAGCAGAAAAAATGGATACAATGTGATTCGGCTGCATTCACTACCCGGCTGATTTTTTTCCAGAATAGAAATTCCTTTGAGAGTGAAGCTAGACCTGACATGTGTTGATCCTGAAGCCTTTTAGCTTTCAGTGTTTCAAATCTGTGTCCCTCCTATTTCCCATTCAAATCATTCATTGTGAATGTCTCTGTCTTCTCTGCCTCCCCCCCCCCCCCCCCCACCTCACTTCTCTGTAATATGCTATTTTGTTGGGGAGCTTTCTGATCTGTGTGGGGGTATAGCTCAGTGGTAGAGCATTTGACTGCAGATCAAGAGGTCCCCGGTTCAAATCCGGATGCCCCCTGGTTTTAGTTTTTTTTAAAGTCTATTTCCATCTCTTTCTATGTCAAAAGGTACCTGCAGACCATGCCTGGTGGACATTGTGCCCGTAAAAAACGAGGAAGGAATTGTCATCATGTTTATTCTCGACTTCCAGGAGCTGATTGATCCATCTCTCAAAAAGTCAGGCCTCAGGAACAGAGTCACCCAAGGACTGATTTTCTGTAAAGTCTTTAACATATTTTATACCATATTAATGTTGCAACAGCTCACATGAATAACTGTAGGAATGATCATGTTTTGCTCCAGTGATTCACAATAATGAATATGTGTCATGTTATCATAGTGATCAGTGTTGACATCTTTAGTATTGCTGTATCCAAACCATTAGTTCTCTGTCATGAACATATTACATTAACATCTGATTTAATACAAAATAAATACATATAACATAACACAGGTTTTTCCTCTCAGGTCAGAATCGCAGGTTGAAGATGAGGCTGCCGATGCTCCGGTCAAGGCGACGACCTTCACTTTCCAAAGATCAATTTGAAGGAGTGGTAGTGGACTACTTGCAGGTGAAGTTGTGTTCACCCACTCACAGGACACTCAAAGATAATGCAATCCTCTAATACTTAGTGACTGTAGCTAATATCTACAAACAGTACTAATACATATCTGCTTTGCATCGCAGTGACTCAATCTTTGAATTCACTTACAAAACATTAGGCTTTCGTGAAGAGCATAAACCTAAAAGTAGTCTGCTCTAATTACATTTTTTTATAACCTTGCTGATTTTCCACATATAATTACAACCATTGTGCTGTTTCAAATGTTAGCTGCCTCAAATAGCAGTAAGAATTGTTTGAAATTTGAGGACTGATTATTCAACTGAAAGTACACTAACAGGAAGAATGAGTGGGAAAATCCATTATTGAGCTTGCCTTTCTCTTCTCAGAATCTCCTTGTACTTTCAGAGTAACTGTTCTCTGTTTTCATTCATCACTTCTAGTGCAGAATATTTCCTGGAAGTCAGTATACCTGACCGAAACTGTATTGGATAATGTACTGTAGACAAATGTACACTTTGAGTCTCTTTGGCAGGGATGAAACAGTATTTTCTGTTAAAGGACTAGTGTCGTGTTGTAAGCTACACGTTTATTTTCTAAAACAATTGGTTATTTCTAAAATTATTCTCTGTACTCCATAGTAGGGATGGGATGAAATAGTAAATCGATAAAACTTCTAATACGTTTATTGTGGTGAATTACCATTATCCAGATAATCATAAATATCCTCACATGAACGAAGGATTGCTGTCATGGTAGGTAAGTTTTCAAAAGAGTCTGATTAAAAATAAATACATTAAATATTATTTAAGAAGGAACAGACTCACAAAATATTGGTGTTTAATATGTATCCTAACCTTAAGTGCTGTTTTAATCCTATTTTAATGATTATTTGGATAATATTGCAAATATTTTGCCGAAGATAATCATGACAGTAAATTCTCAGATGATCACATTCCTACACTTAAAACGTGGCTCCTGTTCTCTGTCCTTGACAGCCAAACAGCGAGGAAGTCCCCCTCAGAGAGTTTCGGATCCCGTCCAAGGAGAGCTGCATGCAGTCTGAGACAGAAGCCCTGATAGAACAGGACCTGGACCCCCCCCTCCCCTGCAGCCCAGCCCTCCACCAAGCGGCGCTCCCTGCTGACAGACCACCTCGACCCCGGGAATGCCTTCCCCGGAGGAGCCTTACCTCTGAGCTGTTCTCGGGACAGTGTCCGCAGCCTCAGACGAGCCTCGTCACTGGACGACATCGATGGCATGAGGGCAGAATGGAGCGATCGGCCTGGAGACTCCCAAACCAACAGTAGTGAGTGTCTGGCTTTGTGGTTAGAAAACAGGAAATTACGTAAGTTGAATCATATATGACCTGTCATTTTGAAAAGAAATGATTGAACGATTGTTCCCTTTGTCTAAACACAAATATGGTCTTTTCAATGTTGTTAAAATAAACTAATAGCTACAGTCTTTGAGACTGAAAGGGTTATTAAAAGAATAAATTCACATCACCTTTGAAAATGTGGTTTATTAAGAAATTACTATCAATAAGCCTTTCTCCAAAACTGATTATTTTTACAATGAGGATTGAACGATGAAGGCAGAAAAGAGGTTTACCCCATCAAGGCCATTATATTCTTTACATGTACAAGTACATCCATGTATACAGGTATAATTGCATCTATAAGTACACATCAGAAATCATCATTATCAAACAGCAAAGGTAAAGAAAAAATCAGATATCCAACATCCATAACTCAGTGCGATTCAATCTGAGCATGTGCTGCTTGTTCCAGCAGAGACACAATCAATCCCTCTGTCTCTTTGTGTGTATGATTGTGTGTGGGTCTGTGGTACTTTTGTGGTAGAATTGTGCATTATCGCACATATATCCTTCTATTCCTCTTGTTATTTTCTGAAGTATCTTTTGGAGTCTAACATTTCTTTCATTTTCACCATGTGTTAACGCCTGTATGCCCATCTGTGTCTTGAGGCTGAGGTGAAATGCTGTCCTGATAGTGGACACAAAACCTCTTGTTTTAGAAAACCTTTTAACTGTGTTATATTTTAGTTTTAACATTTGGTCATGAATTGACATCCCCACACACAGCTAATGTAAAAGATCATATTGTCATTTAAATACAGATATTCAAATGTGTTCTGTTCTTGTTTATTTTTATTCACATCTGTATAATCTGCATGAATGTTCTTGATCTGTGCTGATGTTGCTGCTCTCTGCTGCAGATCTGAAGCCGAGCGTTTTGAACTCCACGTCAGACTCGGACCTGATGAGACATCGAACCATCGGCCGCATTCCTCAGGTTACTCTCACCTTCGGCTCAGACAGGATGAGACCTCCTTCGCCAACGGAAATTGAAATCATTGCACCCAGCAAGATTAAAGACCGAACTCAAAACGTCACAGAGAAGGTCTCACACGTCACTCAGGTAAGTCAAGGCCATTAACATCTCAGTGAAGAAAGATAGGCGATAAAACCTATTTGCCTTTATTTATATTTCAATCGTTCTTTGGTCAAAGTTACTGGACACAGTATTGTTGTCGGTTGCTTCCACCTATTTATTGTTCAAAAATGTAATTTTGTGACCTCATTTAAAGTAATTTGTAGTACTTTTTCAATTCGAAATTATTAACATCATTTACCAAATAATTTCTGTTCCAAAGAAAATCCGTAAAGATGGAGAAATAGAATATAAATTCATTTGAAACCTGACAAATATAACACACAACTTAATTGACTTAATACAAAAACAAATCAGGTGAGATGAGTCGACTTGTTCTGAGTGCAGTTTCCTTCATTTCTGGAATTGTCTACATAAGTATCTCTACCATGAAGACAGAAAATAAGACAGATTGTTGCACTGGAATCAATGTTGTTTTGTTCATGGAAATTATTAAGTGGAAATAAAATGATCTCCTGTTTTCATTATTATTTATGAATTGGATTTTTTGCTTGTTTGGATGGAAAGTTTTGTTTGATTTGTAGGATTAATGTATTTTGATAACTTCAGGTTTAGCCTCATATTTAGAGGTTTTCTCAAAAGCTTAGTCAAGTAGCTATTTTTCCTGAAACGAAACACTTCACATCACATCATGTTACATCTCCTGTCGTCCTGCAGGACACGTCCAGGCCATTATTTCCGTTGATCTCCTTGCGCTGTCACCTTCATCATTGTCTCTGCACATAGTTCAGACAAAGACGTCTAAAAATGTTTGCTTGCTGCTGGCTCATTGAAGATGCTAAAAGACATCTGCAGTCACAGGGTGAAAGTGTGAAAAAATAATCTCACCTGAGGTGTGAGCCACCTGTCATCACACTACTGTGCGTCAGTGCACATTTTGGGCACACAGTAACCTCACACAGAGACGTGATGAAAAAAACACAGTGGACTTTTATAAGTTTCTGCTTTTAAAATGTGGCTCTAAAAGCGGTCCCTATGTGAATGTTGAAAACGGAGAGTATAAATCAATTAGATAAATGAAAGCCTTAAAAACGCCCCTGCACTTAGAGAACACTTTTTTTTTTTTTAAACTGATGCACACTTTTGTATAAGCTTATGTATCTATGTTAATATAAAATCATAATCTTAGGTAGCTCTTAACTTAAGCCGTTTGATAAATGTTGTGGTATACGAAGCACAATTATCACAGAAAAAAGTAATGAAATTAAATGATGTGATTCACAGTAGTAACAACTTAGTATTGTAAGTACTTGAGTCCAAAGAGCCACATTAACATAAGACAGGCCGCTGTTCGTCTCATGTGAGAAACCAAATGTCAACGTTCACTTATTTGAATTTACATCTGCATGTTAAATAATTAAACTTGACATAACCAGACGAAGAAAGTTTGGTTCCGTTTAGTTTGTTTTGTCTTTGAATATACAACATTAATGATATGTTTAAAAATCCAACCTTAATCCGGTAGAAATAGGAAGGTATTAAATCTAAAAGTATTCTTCATAAAGAATTGCCACTATCAGACATTCAGCATGATTATTACTTTGAGTAAATAAAGGAAGTTCGGAAAGGGGAGGTTTTAGTGCTTTCTCGTTTCACATCTGGATTTATTGTTTTTTTACAGTTTTGCGTTTACATAGGACAAACAAAAGAATGAGTACTATTCCCTGATATACTTGCAGCTCCCTTGATAGGAGATCACTCCTTCACACCAGTTGGCTGAGTGGTATCAACGGCCAGCTGCACAATGTGGAGCAACATGACTTCTGTGGCCCTGGAAAGACTGAAAGGAAGAACAGAAGGCCTCCTAAAATGCCTGGCAGGAACACTTAACTTGTTATCTATGCTGACATCATGTACAAGTTTAGATAAAGAGAGTTCCTCTGTGTGAGTAAGCGGTGGGTTGCTCTTTGATATGTTTTTGTTGGGAGGTAGAAAGCAGAAAGTTATTAGAACTATCTGTCTCTGTTATGTCTCCGGCTGACAGACCACACACAGGAAATGTTCTCCTGTTTCCAGCACAAATCAACCTGGTGTTTTAAGTAGCTGTTTTTACATCATAGTGATTTAATTAACTTGAAGAAATGTGTCTCCTAATAACAGTTTAATTACTTTTTGGACATTTAAACAGACTAAGTGACATTAAGAATTATTATTTGTCAGTATAAAAGGTATCTTGGCAGACTAGAGTACTGTCCTCTCCCTTGGGTGTGTGAGGGTGTATGTGGTGATGGTGTGAGTGTGATTGGGGATCACAGTCTGAAGCTGTCTGCAGGAGTGTGGAGAAGTCCCGGTGAGATATAGATATGAAAGCGAGTAAAAAGGCCAACAGCTGTGAGGCTATTGAGTGGCACTCGCTGCCTGATGCCAGTGACCTTGGTGTCTAGAGCTAATGGAAGTGGAGGGCAGTGGGGATGCTCTCTGTGCATCCGTCAGACCTCTAACTCTGCTAATAGAATCACACTGCAGTCCTCTATAGAGTGTTTATGTGCTGATAAGGGTAGACATTTCTTGTGAATTGGGTAAAAATATTAACTTTTTATATAATTGTATATCTTTGAACAGTCTAATGTGACATCTTATTTCATATGTGCTAATTTGCCTACATTTCCAGAACAGAAAATTACATAAATGCAGGTTCAAAATGCAGGTTTCATTTGTTAACATATTAGAGTCAAAGGTCTGTACAGAATGATTTTTTGTAAATCTATTTTTCTATTGCTTCAGTAATCAGAAAATATTGTCAGCTGTCAAATCACAATTTGGGAAAACATTTAGTTTCAGCAGCATAAAACAAAATAAGGCATTGCACATCATAACAAATTAAACGAGTAGAAATAAACAATTCTAAAATAGAAACATCTCAAAATAGAAATAGAAATGAACCAGCATTAGAGAGTAAGACAAATATCAGGCTTTGAATGATATATTAACAAACCCCCCTGTAAAAACCTTCAGAATACAGAGAGGGATACAAATGTAAATGTTGGTGTTTGTAAGTGCTACTGTAGTGGAGCTTTTTGAAGTTTGAAAACATTTTTTTTTTTTTTAAATGTCCTTCAAGCATTTGTATTGTAAAACTCCATACATCTTGCAAGACATATCAGGTGAACAGTGTAACATTTTAAAGTATTTTATATCCCCATGAAAACTCCCGAAATTGATTATTATAATTATGTCCTAAAATGGTATATTAAGATATGCAATGGAGGCATTATCTAATGCTAATCTACATAAAAATGAGCTAGTAAAATATAACCCGTGATGTATATTTTGGAGGTTTTTGTAACCCCTGAAAGAGGACATGATATGGGAGCAAAATAGCCCAAAATCTCAAAAAAGTTATTTATGGCTGTATTGTCTTGCCCATAAACAGACCAATAGTCATATCATATTTATGGGGTCACGGACGAATGTGAAGCCACGAAGGTCAGGTTTTAGGTCACAGTAATCATTGCTGCTGTCATATTGGAAAAAAAATGGTAGCATTGGTCAATAAGTATATCGAGTTTTCAAAAGAAGGATCATGTGAATTAAAAGTTACTCAATCTATAAACACATTTTTTGTTTTATTTTTGCTTTTATCACGTTATACAATAAATGTGTTAATTTTCTTGTTTTTATAATTGGATTTCGATTGGCACCTTACAAAAAGGGAAATGAAGGTTGCTATTGATCTTTGGCATATTGATTTGTCTGCATAACATGAAGCACACAGTGTGATTCACCAGACTGTGACTGTAAAACACTGGTAACCGTAGGCAGCAGAAGTGTTTTTATGCTGCCCCCTAGCTTTGAATTAGTTTATAACAGGAGACCTCACAGGAACACACATTACATCTAATTTAGCTGACGTTTTTGTCCAAAGAAACTTACAAAACAGTCCAATTGGCTCTATTAGTTCCCCAAAATATGGTTTTTGGCCAGATTTCTGGCCGCTGTGAGATTTCTTTGAGTGAAATCTGAAGGAAAATCAGGCTTCCGCTATCAACAGTTAAGAATAAAGTGTGGAGTGCTAAAGCAAGGCTATTTCTGCTTTAAGTCATTATTGTTTGCGGACGCCATCATTCAAATAGCCAATAGATCATTTTGGTTATGTTTAAAGGAGGATCCTATTGTGAGGGCCGGACTACAGGGAGGGAGGAGAGAGAGAGAGGGAGATACAGAGAAATTGATAGGGGTTTCCTCCCCCCTCTGTATCTCTCAGTCTACTGCTGTTAAACCGAACGCGCTTCACCATGAGCTTCAAGCTTAAACTGCAGCCTGTGAGTACCTCAGCCTTACTGGGTCTCTCAAGCCACCTGGTGTCCTCCCAACACTCTGCCTTTCCCTGTTGAGCTCCACTTCACTGTTTGTTTATTTCTTGTCACCTCTCCTCCTCTTTCTCCCTCTTTTGTCCTCATATCTTCATACTCCAATTTGCCCCTTCCTGCTCACCTACTGTAACTGCACAGGTGAGCAGCTTTGTCCAGGTTAGGCTTATGCAAAGGTTGTATCTCTTTGTTTGGACAGTTTTTACACAATGCGTTTGAGTTGCTGCTCTTTTAGGTTTACTTTAAGGGGTTTAAAGCAAATAAATGGCTGTGTTTTTGTGTTAAGCGTGGAATAAGACAAGACACGGAGGATGCATCGAAGAATTATGTGTTTTACATTTCTGTAGTTCTTTATGGTTGAAGTTTTGCAAAAAGAAAATTCACTGAAATAATAATAATAATACTACATGGGATTTGTCTAATGCTTAAAGACGCTTGAAATGAGTTACATGTGACAGATTTGTTTTTAATATCAGATAATCTACAGTCCAGCCTGTGAGTATTTACTAAGCTGTTATTTCAACATTTAATGTCCTAGAAGCAGCAATTTCATATGTTTCAAAGTTGCTTCATTATAAATCCGGTTCAGTCTTGAAGCTTTCCTTTTACTTCCCACCTCAACTATCAGCCTCTACCATATATATATATTAAAATATTGAAACAGTAAACTCTTGCAATGTTAATTATAAAGTCAGAGAAGTGACACAGAGCTGTTGCGTGTGAACTGGTGGTGGCAGTTGTTCTCTGGCTGTCATTATGAAACAGAACTGCGAACAACATCAATAACAACATTTCCTGGATGAGTGAACTTTTGCTCGTGTTTACATTCTCATTAGCATGTTGTCTTTTCACATCTGTTCAGCTACTGTGGTCAGTTGCTGACACACAAAGAAGTGCCAGAGGTTTGTGTGTTCAGTAAATCCTATGAGGTCTCCCACTATAACATATTTTTATTTTACTATGCCCTGTCTATTGCTCATTAAAAAACAGAATAAGGGTGGAAGCTAACATCCCTCTGTCATGAAAGGCCTGATATCCTGGAAAGCTGTACAAGCCACCATTATTCCTAGAAAACCTAACTTCATTTATTACCATCCTCGTTTTTTTTCACCAAATATGGCTATGGACAAAATTAGTAATATTTTGAATGTGCAATTTACTTTGACTATGTCTGATTACTGTTTTTATCTAAGCTTGGAAAGTAGAAATAACCCGAATTTTCTAGACTAGAGTTTAGTAACCATGTTAGACTTACATTTTGGTTCCTGTGTAAGTCTATTTTTTGGCTCTAAAGCTACTTGTCATACAAGTCCTGCAAATGTTGTTATGGTTATTATGCAAATCAAAATGCTAATTAGAGTCTCACATCTCTCATGGGATAGTTGGTCAGCTTGAGCATGGATGTAAGCAGTGGGACAACAGAAATATACAATTTGTCGGGAAACATTTGTAGGACTTGGGTTTTTTATTGGCAGTAAGTACAAATATAATGTTCAAAACTATGTTTTTATTATTGGATTATCACCTGAAACTAAGAAACCTTTTGTCTTTAAAGGAGTTCTTCATTGATACAAAGTGGCAGGTCTGCCATATTTCAAAAAGAGCCCAGATTGGACAAACTTAAAACTGCTCTATAAATGGGCTTCACATTTGTACGTTACCTGAAGTTCATATAATAACTACATGAATGGATGGGAGAAGTGAGCGTAGGGGTTTTCAGTTGATTGCAATCTGAAACCTCACCACTAGATACCATTAATCCTACTCACTGCTATTTTAAATCTGCCAAATATATATCTGTATAATTAACTAAAATTACTCCTCTGCATGGCTCCTAATCAATGCCGGCACTTATTCTGGTCGACAATTGATCTGACTTCTAGTAGAAGGGGGTCACATGGTGCAACATCGGCAAGTGAAGATGCAAGGCACAATTTAAAACAGCAGTCAGTGATTTGACTTGTGCCTGTAGAGAGCGGACAGAGCTACAGGCTCATAGGCCAAACACAAGCGTTGTTTGTGGGTTTTTTGCTGCTTTATGAAATGTGCATATTGGGAAACTCACTCAGTGTGCTCTGTTGGTGAACATATTTTTAGGAAGTTATCACTTACTTTTGAATCCCTTGACCTGTCAGCAAGATTGGCTTTGACACTTTTTATGAAGAAACTTATTTTTAGCTCACATCTATAAAGAACAGTCTTTCACACTTTGTATCCTACTGAGTTACCTCTATTATTAATAACACTATCATTATCTTGTCCATCTCTTTAGGTGTTGTCTCTCGGTGCTGATGTTCTGCCAGAGTACAAGCTCCAGGCCCCTCGCATCCACAAATGGACCATCCTTCACTACAGTCCCTTCAAAGCAGTATGGGACTGGGTCATCCTGCTGCTGGTCATCTACACCGCCATCTTCACACCATACTCGGCCGCCTTCCTTCTCAACGAGGTGGAGGAAGAGCGGAGGAGAACGTGCGGCTACACCTGTGACCCGCTCAACGTAGTGGACCTGGTGGTGGACGTCATGTTCATAGTGGACATCCTCATCAACTTCAGGACCACCTACGTCAACCAGAACGATGAGGTGGTCAGCCATCCCGGACGCATCGCGCAGCACTACTTCAAGGGCTGGTTCCTCATCGACATCGTGGCCGCCATACCCTTCGATCTGCTCATATTCCGCTCTGGGTCTGAAGAGGTGAGAAAGAAGGGGAGACATTGGTCTTTTGTCTACTTTTACTACCCAATGTTGTGTGAAAAAGATAAACACATTTTCTTTCACAACAGACACAAGGTCAAACTACCAAACCGGTCTCTGTGCAGCAACTAACGTTATTGATGACTCTGTTAAAAGGGATATTTGGTGTATTACCTAGATGGCAGTCGGCAAACCTCAAGTTTTGAGATAAAATAGAAGTACTAGCACGGAAAATAATCAAAATAGCATTGTTCACTAGTCACTTCAGTTCAAATAGCGTTGTTGACTAATTTCACACGGGTGCAAATAGCATCTGCCTTAATGTTTATGTAAAATAACATTAAAGCGGTTTAAATATGATATTAAAAAAATATGGCTTACACATATGCCGATATTTATGTATATTTTGGTAGCTTCAAATATGTTTTGCTTGTGCCCTCATCCACAGCTTTAATTCATTCATAATAAAATGAATGTTTTTTATATGTGCATCATAAAACCCCACTTAGTGCTGCCCAGCCCAACTCTAACCAGTTAGCGCTTGAGATAAAGTGAGTTGTCTAAACCTCTTTTTCTCCAATGTACATGGCACATGTTTGGTTGATTATCCGGTTTTTTTCTCTGACTGGCCTTCCAAGAAATCTGAATTATTATATCATAAATTGGTCATTAATTAAACTGCATTTATTTTAGGTTTTTGCTTCACAAATAATTTGATACATTTTTTTTATAATCTGAATTTTAATTCTTTGCATGGTCGAAACTTTTAATTTCAATAAACTTTATATCTGCAGCAAACAAATTTGTGTTTATTTATTTGATCATATTTTACACTGGCACATAGGATTGCTAATATCATTAACATGATGTCCACTCTCTCTTCAACAGCCTCAGACAACAACTCTGATTGGATTACTGAAAACAGCGCGACTGCTGAGGTTGGTCCGAGTGGCCAGGAAGTTGGACCGTTATTCAGAATATGGAGCTGCAGTCCTTTTCCTCCTCATGTGCACCTTTGCCCTTATTGCTCATTGGCTGGCCTGTATCTGGTACGCCATCGGCAACGTGGAGCGAACAGGTTCAGCCCGCATCGGAGGCCTCAAGATCGGCTGGCTGGACAACCTGGCGGACCAGATTGGTAAACCGTTCAACGACAGTGATCCAGCTGCAGGTCCATCCACCAAAGACAAGTATGTCACAGCCCTGTACTTCACCTTCAGCAGCCTGACTAGCGTGGGTTTTGGGAATGTCTCACCCAACACCAACCCAGAGAAGATCTTCTCCATCTGTGTCATGCTTATTGGCTGTGAGTTGAGTGGGATTGAGACTAAAATCAGACGGCCCTCTTAAACAAATAAAATAAATACAAAATTGTACATTTATCTTTGTATCATCAATTGTTCCATCATAACCAAATGTCTGTCATCTGTCCCAATCAGCTCTGATGTATGCCAGCATCTTTGGTAATGTGTCAGCCATCATTCAGAGACTGTACTCAGGAACGGCACGGTACCACACCCAGATGCTGCGGGTCAAAGAGTTCATCCGTTTCCACCAGATCCCAGGCAGCCTGAGACAGAGGCTGGAGGAGTACTTTCAACATGCCTGGTCCTACACCAACGGCATCGACATGAACGCTGTAAGTCATTTCGAAAATTCATCAGGCACATGATGTGTAGTAGAATTAATAGCCCTATGTTTGTGTAAAAAGGAAATCGGATGTTTAGACAGTTGAGAAAGATGGAGTTGTTGTTATATGCTTTTACATCAAAACTTTCAATCAGAAAGGCTGATATTTATTGTTAACTATGTGGGGGTATAGCTCAGTGGTAGAGCATTTGACTGCAGATCAAGAGGTCCCCGGTTCAAATCCGGATGCCCCCTGTTCACCCATTGTGATCCTTTTGTCTACATAATCCCAAACCACAACTGCCACCCAGCTGGAAAACATTTTCAGAAGAGATGACAATGCATGTTTACTTTGCTTCACAATCTCTATTGTTCTATCTCTAACCTGTTTTTGGATTCATACCTGCTACTGTGTAGATCAGGGGTCTCAAACTCAAGGCCCGGGGGCCCCGCAAGAGCTTGCAAAGAATATATTACGTTTATTATACGGTTACATGCCACTTTACAGAAGCAGGTTGCCCATAAACTACATGTCCCATAATGCATCTCGTTTTGTGATATGGCACTGAAGAGACTTGCAATTATTTGCCCTGGACTTCTGCTTTCAGAAGTTTTACTAAGTTATTATCCTATCCAATAATAATCCAATTCAGAAGCAAAAATGTAATAAAATACATTATTTTATATATATATTATATATTTATTACATTACATTACATTGCATTTAGCTGACGCTTTTGTCCAAAGCGACTTACAATAAGTACATTCGACCAGGAAGACACAACCTTGAAGAAAACAGAATCATATAAGTACATCAGGTTTCATAGAGCCAAACATTTCAAGTGCTACTCAACTGGCTTTAGGTAAGCCAGTCCTTTATTAGTATAAAAGTGCTTCGTTAATAGTTCTAACGCTCGAAGTGGAGTCGAAAGAGATGAGTTTTCAGTTTGCGCCGGAAGATGTGCAAGCTATCTGCCGTCCTGATGTCAATGGGGAGCTCATTCCACCATCTTGAAGCCAGGACAGCAAACCCACGTGTTTTTGCCGATGGGAACTTGGGTCCCCCTCGCAGCGAGGGCGCAGCGAGTCGTTTGGCTGATGCAGAGCGTAGTGCACGCGCTGGGGTGTACGGTTTAACCATGTCCTGGATGTAGGAAGAGCCAGATCCATTCGCAGCATGGTAAGCAAGTACCAGTGTCTTGAAGTGGATTCTAGCAGTTACCGGAAGCCAGTGGAGGGAGCGGAGAAGCGGAGTGGTGTGGGAAAATGTAGGAAGGTTGAAGACCAGACGAGCCGCTGCATTCTGGATGAGCTGCAGAGGTCGGATGGCACATGCAGGTAGACCAGCCAGGAGGGAGTTGCAGTAGTCTAGGCGTGAGATGACGAGAGCCTGGACCAGAACCTGAGTCGCTTTCTGTGTCAGCTGGGGACGTATCTTCCTGATGTTGTAAAGCGTGTATCTGCAGCAACGGGTTGTAGCAGCGATGTTTGCAGTGAAGGACAGGTTGTTATCTAGGGTCACACCCAGATTCCTTTCAGTCTGAGTCGGGGAAACAACTGAGGTGCCGATGTTGATTGTTAGGTCAAGAGTTTTAACTTTATATAGTTACAACCGGCCCTTTGAGTGCAACCTTTATGCGAATGTGGCCCGCAATGAAATTGAGTTTGACACCCCTGGTGTAGATCAAATCAAACCTCACTCTTACTATAATAGGCAGGGGGTATAGCTCAGCGGTAGAGCATTTGACTGCAGATCAAGAGGTCCCCAGTTCAACTCTGGGTGCCCCCTTCACATTTAAATAAACATCAGGGTTTCCTACCGAGCTGATGCTTTGGGAGACTTCATTTTCACTGAGGATGTGCGTCACATCGCTGGTTGGGACAGCTGCTAACAGCACTGGAGCATGTCACAGCCAGAGAGCAGCATTAGCGCCTGTCAATTCAATGTGAGAATAGATAATCACTTAGAGCTACTGTCATTTGTGCCCGGGCCAAATCAATCTGCTCTCTTTCTCTCACCCCATATTTTAATTATTATGCACCTTTTAAACTCATTTTCCATGTTTTGATGCACGCTTTTAAAGATCCAGGACACATATATGCAGGTAAAAATAAAATAATAATTCCGAAGTTACCCAATGCCCTCTGTTGCCCTGCAGGTTTTAAAGGGTTTCCCTGAGTGTCTTCAGGCTGACATCTGCCTCCATTTGAACCGGTGCTTGCTGCAGAACTGCAAAGCTTTTCGAGGTGCCAACAAAGGCTGCCTGCGAGCTCTGGCCATGCGATTCAAGACCACCCACGCCCCACCGGGTGACACGCTGGTCCACAGTGGGGACATTCTTACCGCCCTCTACTTCCTTTCCAGAGGTTCTATAGAGATCCTTAGGGATAATGTGGTGGTGGCCATACTAGGTGAGTTGCGCGCCAAAGTGGAGGTTCTGCTTATTTGGTCCTTTTTTCTTAGTAAGTTTATCAATGTCATTGGTTTCTCATTTATGTTTTCAAAAAAACATTTTACTAATGCAATGTTAATGCACACTACAAAAAAACAAAACCAAATCATGATGGTTTTTTTTGCATATGGCCATATTGTGTCTCTTTATTGGTCACTCTTTCGTCTCTTTACCACAAAACACCAGCCACAACTGACGCTGCCGTTTTCACCACACACACACACACACACACACACACACACACACACACACACACACACACACACACACACACACACACACACACACACACACACACACACACCCTCTGTGTGATGTGTTGCCAGAGGTGCTTGGGCATAGCTCCACTTCCATTCCACAGTATCATTGATCATCAATAGGCCCAGTACTCAGAACCAGGCTGCATACTGTAGGTCATCTCTTTTCCAGCCTCCCTTGTTTTGAGCAGCAGTGCTGTTGAATATCAGTGCTACTCTATTGCTGGGGGTGGCATACCTGTGCCTTGTGGTGATTAAATAAAAATAAGATTACAAATGTCAAATATGTTATTATCATATTATTTTAGGTGGGTGCTTAGGCCATGAACAGAAACTTATTTTTGACCATTTCTGCCTGTTTTATCTTTACCCATTCACACATTTACAAATAACATTATCAAAAGTGATACAGAAATACTTTTGATAATATGTGGGCACACCAATAAAATACATGTTTAACGCTAAACTGCTTAGTGTTGTGTACAGCGTTACTTTTGACAACATTAAGTGATTGTTACTATTTTCCAATGCTCTTCTTTCCTGTTGCTGTGCTGTCTGTAGGGAAGAACGATATCTTTGGTGAACCCATCAGTCTTTATGGGAGGCCAGGCAAATCCAGCTCTGACGTCAGGGCTTTGACCTACTGCGACCTTCACAAGATCCAGAGAGAGGACCTGCTGGAGGTGATGGACATGTATCCTGACTTCGCTGACAAGTTCTGGACCAACTTGGAGATCACATTCAACCTGAGAGATGTAAGTTCCACCAGAGCTACACATAAGCCCCCATTCTTCTTCTTCATCTTGACTCACCATCATAACAGGTTGTTCTGATTTATATTTTAAAAAGAAAAGGCCCATAGTTGCAATAAACATAAATACACAAACACAATGATGTGAAAATATTCAAAGACTGTACATTTTCTTTAAGCATGAGATCAGGTCTGTTTATTTTGAATTACTGAAGCTGATATGTATCAGGCAGATAGAATACACCTACCAACCCCTGGCAGGGACTCTGATTGTGACTACCGGCGGACAAGGCGTCGGAGAAGATCCCTGCGTCGCCGAAACCGACCAGGTGAGTGAGGGGCGAGGCTTAACATATTTCCATTATGTTTCTGTGTTGTGTTACCTCCAGGGTTCGTACAAAATGTTTGATTGTAATCATAGTCTGGTGTTTAATTTAAACAAAAATAGGGGACCTTTAAATTATCGTAGTAAAACATAACATTTGTGTTAATGTGAGCTGCTTAAAATACATACACTTCTGTAAACTTTATGTTTTCAAACAACTTAGTTGTGCTTTTGAAGGCTTTTAGAGTCCGGAAATATTTGGTAAAAGTTTTTTGGAAGTGCTTGAATTTTACTGTAATATATCTTATCCTGGGGACCCTGTCACACAGACGGCATGGACCGTGAAGACTCGTACCCCGATCAGTCCTGCACAGTAGCCAACCACCACCAAGGAATGATGGCAGGATCCCATTGGGAAGACATCTGCAGCAGTGCTAGCAACTCTTCGCAGTCTAGTGATGAGGAGATGAGGCCTGTGGGACACAGCAAGGGGGAGCTGTACCCCACACCGAGGGACACCAGAGACTACCCCCCCGTGGTCAACGTCCTGCCGCACAGTGGACCCTCAGCTGGGATGGGCCCGCTTGTTGACCCCGGAGGATCACAATACTCAGGTGAAGACTTCCTGCGATTCTTTACCCGTCATGTCTTGTTATAACCTTAAAACAGAGGTGTACCAAAAATACATTTGAAATCACAATTACATCAGTTCCCTCTTAGATTTCCTCCTGAGATCTTACCTTAGGTAATGAGGTTGAGTAAATAGAGTTGTAATATTTTTTAAAGATATTAAAACTATTTGGTGCCAAGGCAAGTCCAAAGTCCAAGAGTTAATTCAATGTTACAAACTGTAATGTAAATAAAAGACACACTTTAAACTAAACTAAATTGTAATCTGAATATGAAATCAAGGTAGAAAATGTTTAGAAGGTTTTTATTGTTTTTCAAAGTGTACCATACTTTAGTGCATTTTTAAATGTTACCTTTTATCCAAGTGGATGCAGTAAAGTCATATTGTAATAATGACATTTGATATGATTTAAACTTCAAGAACGACATAAAATTGTCAATATACTTAAAGTTACAACCCAACCAATACTTGTAAAATGGAACTGAAGCGACATAAAAAGGAAAGTAAAAGTAAAAAAGTACAAATGAAAGAACAAACTTCAAAATGAATTTATAAACAATTAAACATCAGATTACGCCTGCTCTAAAACTAGAACAAAAACTACAAGAATAGAATAAAATGGAAAAAGGTGTTATTATATTTATATGAATAAGAAATATTAAAAAAAATCCCATTCTAGAGTAGACACTGGCTGATCATGACTCCTAGAGTAGACAGTCTGGATTTCTAACATATTGTATTATCTCTTACTATAATTATTATTATTTATTGAATAAGAAACTAAAAAGTACCTCACATATGAACAGATGATTTCTCCTTCTTAGAAACAGCAGCAGCCCCGATCAGCATGTCCGGCCTGTACGGCTACTGGCCGGACCGCAAAGCCAGCCAGTTCTCAGAGAGTCAGAGACGAGCGTCCTCAGTCAGAGCCAGCTTCCAGCGTCCACCCTGCCCTGAAGCTCGACCCAGCGAGCTGGGGACCAGACTGGATCTGCTGCAGTCCCATTTGAACAGGTGAGCTGGTTAAATGTTTACTTTTTTAAAGTGGTAAAGAGGGGGCACCCGGATTTGAACCAGGGACCTCTTGATCTGCAGTCAAATGCTCTACCACTGAGCTATACCCCCACTGCAAATCAATAAACAGATGTTGGATTTTCTTTCCATTTCACAGCCAATGTTTACTTTAGCGTCACCATTATAATACTTCTGGAAACTCCTCCCTGCCTCTCCTGCTGTGTTTGCTTATCAGTTCCCAGCCGGTAGTGTTCATGAGCTGCATTTGTATTGGAAAAAAAAGGGAGGAGATAGAGGAGGATACAAAGACAAAAAAAATAAGAAAGGGTCAAAGGTGAGATTCAAATATTTAGAAACATTCTCTGTGAAGTCAGTCATCTGTAATCCTCCTTTCGTATGTCTGTCATGAAATATGAGGCAGAGAGATATAATGTAGAGAGAGCAAGAGAGAAACCTAGTGGACATTTTAGAAAAAACAGATGAGAGGGCTCTTTTATGACTTGTTCTATCCGGCATCAAAATAACATCAAAAGCACTTTGGGATGTGTGTGTTTCCGATCATGAAAATAAATTATTTATTTTCCTTCCCAGGCTGGAGACCCGAATGACTGCAGACATCAATGTGATTCTACAGCTCCTGCAGAGGCAGATGGCCCCGGTGCCTCCAGCCTACAGTGCTGTGTCCCCCCGCCCTCACCCGCCTCCCCCCACCACCCTGTTCAGCGCAGGAGCAATCCACACTGTCCCTCTGATCCCGCCTGTCCAGATCGGCAGCACTGCCTCGCTCCTACAGGTGTTGTGTTTACTTTACAAACTTCACTTACCTATTATTTATTGTTTTATTTAATGGGACATCTTGACATTTGGGTATTTGTTCTGGTTCTGTGTAAAGGTAACAAAATCCACCTACCAGCCTCTTTAAAGATAATCAATAAACATTTTACATTACATGTGTTTAATCTATAACAAATATTTTTTGCCAGAGTATTACTCAACCAGTAACTTCCTGGAGTGTCCACTGTTTGCCTGGCAAGAGTGGTTCCCAAGCCTGGGAGCACTCCCTTATAAAGGGCCCAGAGTTTTAAAAAGAAGGGCGTGTCATGTCTAAATGTAAAGGATGAATAGGTCTGCGCTGTCTCTGGGGGGACTTGAAAATATTTGTATCTACACAACAGGGTTGCTTTAACAAAGGTTTGTGAACCACTGTTATGAGATAACAGACTGCTTGCTCTAACAACATATGTATTGTGCAAACAGAGAGAGGTAATTCAATAAGTGTATTTGTGAACTACTCCTTTAAACACAACAGTCCTGTCTGAGTTAGGCTTAATCCTTTTCTCTCGTTCCAGAGTCCAGACTCGGACTTCAACCCTAAGTCTAGGGACTCTCTGTCCAGCGGGATCCATCTCACTGTGGCCTCTGATGACACGATGTCCATGTCGCCAGAGGCTGTCCCCCCACACCTGCCCTCTATGGAAATCACCCCTCCTCAATTTTCAGGAGCCCAGGAGCTTCCTGGACTGTTATGTGTCAGCCAGCGCTTCCCCTCCCTCCCTGAGCACCTGGAGACCTCCAGAGCGCCGCAGGAGATCCAGAGGCACGTCTCTGACCCTGGGCTGCCGGGGAGCTAGAACAGCAAACACCTCACAAAAGCCTGGTCCTTTGGATGGGACGGCCATATGTTCCCCGCTCTGTTACTTCCCCCTCCCTTCAAACCTCCTCTGTCCTGCTCAGATGCTGCTGTAGGGCGTGGGATGCTTGCCTTCCACGTCCCTGAGGGTTCAGGGGCCCCCTGTTTCTGATGTTCGGACTCTACAGTGCCCTGACAGGCGGCTGTGGCTTTGTGATTCAGCATCCCTTCACACCCGAGGTCCTGTGCAATAAAGAGATTATTCCTGCCCAGCACGGTCGGAAAACGGTGGTACACGAGTGGACAGTAAACACATACAAACATATACATGCGTTGTGCAGTCGTCGGATCTGAAAGCCACACAAACTGCATCTCAGACAAAGGTTTCTGTGAAGAGAAGTAAAATGTATTTTATGTTTCACATGAAGAATTATCTGCATTCACTTTGTATAAGAATTGCACATTTAGACTTAGTAGAATGTAATCATTTATTTGGAATATAATTTATTTTCCTAATATTAGAGATGTATTGGTCACATTAAGAACAATACGTCTAGTAAATGTGATGAACTATAAGTGATAAGTTAGAGACTGAGTTTTGGTGTACGGTGAAAAAATATCAAAAGGCATACGGTAGCTGTCTGGCACACTGTGAAGGGTGATGGGTTCAAAGAAAAGTGTCATTTTCATCTCATTTCATGTTCTGACATTAAGACATGAATCTAGAGACTTGTTAGCAGTCATCATGAGAAGGTATTACAGCGTACAATGTCATAGTTTCTTTTATATTCACAAATAGCTCTATCGGTTCTGTTTCAATCATGACTGCTGAGCTGTTTCCCCCCATTTCTGTGTGTCTATATCTGCTCGGTTAAACTCAAATGTGTCAATGTCTTTTATGGTCACATGACTTCATAATGCTCCTGATTTGGTGTTTTTCTGAAAGTGCCAACATCAGAGGACTTGTATTCTAAGCCGTGATTGCAGAAGGTTGTTTTAATGAGTAGCAGGTGAAGTGGATAGTCACTGTGAATCACATACAGACACAGAGACGTCCTCAAGGCGCCTTTTGTTAAGATGATTTCACAGCTCCAACTACAGGCTGAATGTAATGACTTTTTAAGCATTTATTAATAACTGTAATGTTTTTTGAAGCACAAATTCCTGTTCTTTATCTTTTTTTAGATTAAAGACACAACACAGAGTTACACTGGGAGTCCAAATCCTTTTTATTGTATTATTCAACAAAGCACTGACGTACAAACTGCACCACCAGTAAAGTAACACTTTCTAAGATCTCTCAGAATGTAATTATTCATGAGTATGTTATAAGTTACTGTTTTGGAAATATTGTTCTTCTTACCAAAGTACATTTAACAGTTTCTTTGTGGATTGGGATTTTGGAAACCGATACTGGGAAACTTACAAAATCATTCATCATTTACAAATGCACTTTAAGGTGAATCATGTACAAATCTAAGAGGTCAAAGAGAACCACCATTTCTCATTTACATGGACTAATGTCAATGTTCATAACTCCACTAGTATATTAACAAGTTTGTTAATATACAATTTGTTAGTGTTTATATTGAAGTGTTATTTGGGGCTGCTTTGTTTATTAAGGACCAGGGCAGTTTGCAATCATTAACAGAACCAGGAGTATGGGCCTCATTCACAAATATCTTCATAAGTGTCTTATTAAACTTAAAGGGTGTTAGAAAGGTTTAACAAAACTGTTAAAGGTGGAGTACCGGACTCCAAATGTAAAAATAAATGTCAATAGATCTGAAGTGCAGGTTCTTCTGAAGGAAGTGAACACCAGCCTTACATTTATGGCCCTTCAAAGGGCACCAGACTGGAATACAACAGTGATATGCTGCTAGGGAAATGTAATCTACATAAGGGGGTATAACTCAGTGGTTGAGCATTTGGCTCAGATCAAGAGGTTGCCAGTTCAGTACAATCAAACAAATAAATACATAAAGATTTTATTAAATGCCAAAATAGATTTCTAAGTAGATGTTGTAACAGGACATAACAATCTTAAATTATTTCTTCATTTTAGTTCAACTATGCTTATTTAGTTCTGTATTCGTGTGTGTGTGTGTGTGTGTGTGTGTGTGTGTGTGTGTGTGTGTGTGTGTGTGTGTGTGTGTGTGTGTGTGTGTGTGTGTGTGTGTGTGTGTGTGTGTGTGTGTGTGTGTGTGTGTGTGTGTGTGTGTGTGTGTGTGTGTGTGTGTGTGTGTGTGTGTGTGTGTGTGTGTGTGTGTGTGTGTGTGTGTGTGTGTGTGTGTGTGTGTGTGTGTACTTTATAAAAATATGTATTTATTATTTAAGGCATAATCTTTAAACCAAATGTAACTTCACAAAATGAAGCAGTATCACGTTTGGAGGAATACAATTTATTAGAGCAAATTCAATAATAAACTTTTTGAAAAAGCTACCACATGAACACTTGTCCTACCAACATCTTGAGTTGATATATTATATGTATGTACATTTGTGCCTTGTAATGGCATGCTACAAGGACATGACCCTTTGATTATTGAATACAACAAATAGAGAAAAAGACTCAAAGTTGTTTCACACTCATCCATTCCAAAACACAAAGAAAATGCAGCTTTCAAAGCAGAATCTTCTATAAATAAAGAAGAAAAGATAAAGTAGGGAGAGTAAAAAGGCTGAACGACATGGCTCTGCTAGTTTCTGATTGTTGCTGTCCATGGCCAAACTAAAGCACACTGTATCATGACAGATACCACTGCAGTGACAATAAGAATCCCTCTCAGGTTATTTTACAGTTTATAAAATCATTTTGAGGGAGGATACTTGACATACACCCATTTGAAAAATGTACAGGGGTGAACAAAATATATTGATTTTTGAATCAGCAATTTGTGAGTCCACCACAAGGCTACGATATATTCCTACGTATTGGAGAGGCCATTTTCTGCCTCCAGTAGTTTTATCAACAGATGTGACTCACAATATTTAAACCCTTCAAGATAATCTCAAAGTGGGTTGAAATCACACCAAGAAATATATAAAATCTTAATTTCATAGGCAACTACTCAAGAGTTCAGATATTCTGAACTCTATCTTGTGAACAAAAATAAATAAGAGCTTAAACCCGTTAAATAGAAGAGCAGTGCGACAATATGTCATCCAGATTATTGTGGGTAGGTGTGTGTGTGATACTCCAAACATGTTCAAAAAGTTCACTCGTGACCTCGGCCTTTTCTTCAAAGTAATAGTACGAGGACTACAAATTCTTAAATATTAAACAAGAAGGAGTGTCTCTCCTTCGTCCAAGTGTCCTTGGCTGTTACACACGCAGGATCTCCAGGCAGTTGTTGTAGCAGATGGCGATCCAGTCCGGCTGCGTGCACGCCCACTGCACGTTGTTGATCTCCCCTTCAGCCGTGTAGGCCAGGATGGGATCATCGATGGCGCGGGGCATCTGCTGAATGTCCCAGATCAGAGCCTGATGGTCGTCAGCTGAAGAAATGAAGAAGTGTAGAGGGGGCGTTGACAAAAAGATTTCAGAATGAGGGAGCAGGGAAGTGCAGCAGATTACTAGAGTTAAGATTAGATTGAATTGTAAAAACACAAGGGGAGATGAATGATGAGAGTTAATAACGTTACTCTGCTATAACCCACAATCTATAGGGGCACTTACCTGCCGTGCAGATGTGACATGATGAGTGAGGGGCCCAGGCGATGCCATTGACACAAGCTCGATGGTTGTTCAGCCGAGCCACGGGAGTGCACGGCACACGCACATCCAGGATGACCACCTACCACACGGAAAGAATAACGCTTGAGATTAGAAGAAACACCAAACCCCAAATTGCAAAGATGGTTAATATCCAGGTATTTTAATAGCATTATAATATAAATATCAAACATGGGGTTAAAAGTTTATTTAAGAATGAATCAAATTAATTCATAATACAGAAATGGTAACGAAAGAATCTGTAGCAAACTTGCCTCCATGCCGTCCATGGCCATAGTGGCCAAGTAGTTGGGGTCCTGCTTGTTCCAGCAGAGGCGGAGCAGTGGGTGGTGCTGGGGGTCTTCGTAGATGATGGTGCTGTGCTCCAGGTGCCGGAGGTCAAACATGCGGACGGATCCGTCGGCTCCCACAGAGGCAAACATATCTCTGCCCCCTCCTGCACGACTGAACGCAATGTCATACACCTGCAGAGACGCATGAAAACAGTAATCTAAATATTCTGTTAAGCAGTACACATAAGCAAAAATAATGTTAATGTTATCTGGTCATGATTATACAACACGATGAATCATTGACTTGCAACAACATGCATTTTTAAACATGTTGTAGTGCACTGACACAACCTACTGAAAACTCCTGAACATAGGTTCAACATTAAATTAAACTATATTAAAATGATTGCAGTCAGCAATGGGCAAACACACTTTGCTGTGAAAGAAACGCGGGTTGCTCATGTTTTCAAAACAAGAGTATCATTATTATATATTTTTCTTGTACATCTTGTTTTCCTACTGGTTGGAAGCCAAAATCGTAATTAAAATTGTAGGCACACACAGACCTCTTTGTCATGAGCGATGAGCTGCGTCTTCACATGTCCAGAGACCAGGTTTACTCGTCCCAATACCTGACCAGTCTCCAGTCCCCAGATAGTGCAGGTGGTGTCAATGCTGGACGTACCTGCAGGATCAACCAACATGTTAAAAAAAAAAATACAAATGACAGAGCAACACAGTCTAATTGCAGCCTCCTAACTATTTATTATAAAGTGGATTTCTCACCTAGCAGATTAGGATCAACTTCATTCCAGTCAAAGGATGTGAGGGGAGCACAGAAGTCAGAGTTCTTGTTGTTATTCAGCAAACATTCGAGACGTGTTTCAGTGTCGCTGACCTGTGTGATTAATGCAAAGAAATGTCATAGTGAGTGAGCAAACTTTTCTTAACAAGTACTATACTAAAATCTTCTGGCCGGTGTTTCTGTTCTTATTGGAGTTGAACATTATTGATAATTCCCAGACACTTTTGTATCTCCTGTAAGGTAGTTCTGGACTATTGTCGTTTGCTTAGAAAGACAGGAAGGTAAAGGGTAATATCATTGTATTGTAAAGGCAAAACTAACAATGTGTTAGTCTTTCTATCAACATACTGTAGTTACAAAGCCATTGATATATTGGTCACAACAACTTTCCACGGGATGCTTCTTTTTTTTTAAAGAAAAAATACATACATACACACAAAAGTTTCTTTTTGACCAATATTAAAAATATTATTTATTATTTATTAATAACACTTAAATTGAGTTGCAGTGAAGGTGGTCACCAGTTCCATAGTTTGCTATTTAAAAAAACACTGACTGTATAAGGTTTGGTCATGACCAAATATATATATTTATATATACAGTCTATGGTCATGACTCAAACAAACCAGTCTAATCCAATCAGATCAAACCTCCTACCCTCCAAATGCGCAGGTAGTCCCCACTTGTGGCCAGCAGATCTGGGTACACCCCCTTGGTGTCTGGGATCCACATGATCTTGGTGGTGGGGTAAGGATGGTCAAAAGTGTTCCTGCAGACAAACTCTGAGCTCTCCTCTTCCAGACCCACCAGCTGAACCTGGACACGAACAAACAATAGTCTCTGTTATTATTTCAAGACGAGCTGCTGAACCACTGTTTACATGGCGACGAGGGTTAGAAATAGCACCAGCTATATATGGTGTTACTGTAGGATGCTGCTTTTAAAGATAAGAAAGACATGGCTGTACAATGTTGATACTTGGACGGTTGCTGGCTGCTTTTATGTTATAGTTATTATAAGCATACGAGTGTTGCGCAGAAAATCAGCATTAGCATTAGCTTGTTTACGTTAAACTAATGAATGGCCAGGACCACACTGACAGCGCACCTTGTTGTTGTACTCCTCCACAAAACTCCCGAGTGCTAGCCGAAAGCGTTTGTCTGGCCGGATGCTCCAGCTCATCGCATAAACAGTCCATGGCGCGTCGTATTTGTAGATTTCTTTCCTTTTTCCGTGAAGCGACATCCTCTCCAACTGCAGCTGTTGTCCCAGCAGCTAACACGCTAGAATTAGCTAACTACAGAATAAGTAGTCGTGCAGTCAACTACCAGCAGTTACTGTGATCGACAATGAGAAATATCAGCAGTGTGGCGGTAATGAGCTTTTAATAACATTAGTCTTGTTTAGGAGCGAGATCCCTCACCACTTTACTTAACAAAGAGTGCCATTGCTCGTTATGACTTAGTGCGCTGTCAAGTCCACCGAAGCACATGCGACTTCCGGTATTTATCTTAAACAATAAAAGCTCAGAAAGCCTTCACAGTCGAATTAGCTTCTTTTAGTATTTATCGACTTTCTTTTGAATAATAACATGAACCTTCTCTGTAATATTTAATTATAACTTTAACTTAATTCATGCATCATTTTAGACTATATCTTCTCTGGTTAGCTGCCTGTGTTGGTGGTAATAATGTCTGTGATAAAACACATTCCATGACTGGTAAATACAAAATGAAAACGATTTCATCCTTATAACGTTGTTACGGAAGAAGATTAGGGCCACATGTGAATTTTTCTTTAGAGATCTGACCAAAAGTTATATTTTTACTTCTGAGATTAAAGTCAGAATTTTTCCATTTTCAATTCACGTGTGTCCCTAATCCTCTTCCTGATGTTGTGGATAAATGTCACTCATTGCTCTTGTGTTTTCAAATTAAAGATGAGTGAAACCAACAGGTACACCACAAGTGACACATCAAAATCACTCCAAAACCATTTAGGCCTACTAGGTAAACTTCGGGCAAAAAAACTACATCGGTACATCCACACCATTGGATTATAATTATTGATGTATAAATAATTAAAAGATGCAACTTGTGAAGGTGGAACTAATTATTAGCGAGCCTGTATATACTGCAGGGTAGTTTAATATATGATAATATATCATAAAGTATTATATTTTGTATGAAAAAGTCTGAACTGTAAATCCTAAACATTTAGTGGAGAAAAGTACAATATTGACTGAGAAGTAGTTGATTAAGAATAAAGTTACAGAAAATAAAATATTCAAATTAAGAACAATACTTAAATAACACTTTTGTTGTTACTTTCCACCACTGCTTTACTTATGGCCAAACACGTTTTACAAAAAAACATGTTCTCTCCGAACTGTGTATGTGAGTTTTATTTTGTATGTTTAAATCGGAAGTATGACACGATGCTATTACGTCTAGTTTGACAACAAGTTGTAGTTACTTAATGTGGCCACTAGAGGGCAGACATGCTCATGTCGATTAACAGTAGAACACAACCTCTACCGTCAGCTGTTCAAGAAAGTTAGAAGTGACTTTCTACTTTCTTTACTATGTTACCTCCATATAGTTATAGCAATTATGAAAATGTCTGTTATTCCAAAGTATGATATAAGTAAGTATTTAATACAATGACATTCACTATTATCTTTTGAATGAAATAAAAATGTGATCTGTACTTAGTTCCATGGGTGTACTAGGTGCTGGCACTAAGTGCTGGGCAAAGTAGTTGGTGTGAAAGCGGCTAAAGACTTTATTACTAGAAATGGTTATTTATTGAGAATATTTATTTATGATTTGTTAAATCCTGTCTATTTTATCTTATGGACTATTATCTCTGTACATTGCCTATTCTTTCAATTATTTATACTGTGATAATTTGTATGACCCCTAGAATAATTGTAAATATGAAATATTATTTGTAATGTATTGTTATTTAATATGATATCCTTTGATTTTCAATATTATATGTATGTGTCTTGTCTATGTACAAATTACATCAAAACAGTTTCCTTGTATGTGAAAACCTTTACAATATAAATAATATTTATTACTTTTATTCTGCTTAATCTATCAACAATGTATACACATGTTTGTATTGTCAGTGTACATACATGTGTTGATGGCCCATGGGTTGTCCGTTCAGTCTAGACGGATACACATAATAATGATCGTAATGATTACCTAACAGTTCTTAAATTCATGTTGTCAATTTAAATAAATAAGTAAAGTTGCACATACAAAGAAAGTCAAGACAACAACCGCATACAAACTTCCGGTAGAAACATTTCAGAATAAAACAGTTGGATTATTAGCAGCGTACATCTTGCTGCGATGCTTTTACTCTGAAAGTCCGGTCTTGTGTCGAGTACTCTCCCATTGCTTTAGGCGTAACATCACTACAAGGACAGTTCAGGCTACTTGAGCTCAATCAGCGATACGGTTATTGTCACAGTAATTCTCCAGGTAAGCTCTTTGTTCGGTCCGTCAATGTTTGTTTAAATAAAACACCGAGTTGTGTTAAAAAGAAAAAGATTGATGATTTTCGTTTAGTATCAGGTTGGCTGCTAGCAACAAGGTGCCATGCTAGTTAGCCACCGTTAGCATGATAATGCCAGATTTGCTAACAGCTAATGAAAAAGTGTGTGAGAGCTGGGGGATGGGTCGGGTATTATTACGGTTGTTTAAGTGTAATCCTACGGGTGTCATTAGATACGTACACGGTTTAAGTTGTGTCTTGAAATCCACATCATATAGTAGTATCCATTTAGCCTGTTAGCAAGCGTGTCGCTTTCATTTTGGCTAAAGTTAGTTGGGCTAGCGACAGCTCACTGGGTTAAAACTCACCAGATTGCACCCCCATCCAGTAGCTGCTTAACTTTGACCTAGCTTTGCCTTTACTTTGCCCCAGATATGTCGCCGTGTGTCGTTAAAATGTCTTACCTGTATGTGTAGCTTTACCCATTTATTAGCAATGGCAAAGCGTCAGATAACACTACTATGAATTACTCCTGTTAACTGGGACAGTTATACTGCATATGTTTGTACTGAACACATTAACCAGTATTCTTATTTCTTGCACTTTTACCATCATTATTGTTTAGCATCAGCCAAAACCTGGTTAAAATAGACAAGTGACAGCTAACTCAATGACCCAAAGTGTTACCTATTGAGTTAATGGTGGAATCATCTAAACACTAACTAAGCAATTTGCAATTGACCAAAAACAACTATTAAACTGACGTATGGTGAACCTATATACATTTATTTGTTCTCCATGTTTATATACTTTTGTATTCCAAACTTGGACTGTAACGTAAGCCAATAATAAATACAGTTTTTTTTGTCTGATTCTAACAGCTTATTTGGAGATAAAAAACGCATCTCCAATACTGACAACAGAGTTCCTTCTCTTCATTGTTGTTTTGTAGTTAGTCTCGGCCCATGGGGATTAGTTTTGCCTCTTTGGGATTTGTCACAGGAATACCCATTGTGTGAGCAGGGACTCCCTTATACTAGTTATACCTGGGCCCTTGTCACAGTTATAACCGTTATTGCCAGAGGCATCAGTTTAGACTCCCCCATGTTAAATATTTACCTGGTTTAGAACTTTAGAGTAACATTGGTGGCTGGAAGTAATAACTTTCAGCAGGTTTTACTGAAATGCATCTTAGCTTTCTAGACACTAAACACTTAAGCTTAATTTTGACCCAAACATTTAGAATAAGCAATTTATTGTTAAAGTGCAATAGTGGCAAAACATGCTGTTTTACACATACTGAAATATGAAGATTTTCATCTTTGCTTATTTGATATCATTTTAAATGTAATATTTTGGGTTTTGAACTGAATAAAAAGACATCACTTTGAGCTATGGCGGTTATTCAATTGGATGTTTTTACTACTTTCTGTCACGAATAAACCAAATTGGATTAATGGCAGATGAATAATAATATAATAATGAAAGTTATCATTAGTTGGTGAGTTTCAGCCGTAGTTGACCGATTTCGGGAACTGATTTGGCTTTTCACTCTTGCTTTTTGACGAGTCTGTAAGAATGTTCCTTCTTTGTCTAGCATTTGTGTGGACCTTGTTACACTTCTGCATTTGACTTTCTCTGCCAGTTTTTACACCACCCTTATTGACGGTTTCCCTACATGTTGCATCAGCTCTCTTTGACTCTGCCTTCCCCTCTGGTGCAGGTCCCACCATGCGAAGCGCGTGTGTCCTCATGATACCGGCGCTCCTGCTCCTCTTGGCCCTTCCACTCTCCAGAGGACGCTACAATGATGACTTTGACGATGGTGAGGACCTAGCAGACTTTGATGACAATGACTTCGCTGAGTTTGAGGACATGAACGAAGATCAAGCTGTGGAGGCAGAAACTGCCCCCCCGCCTCGCGCCTCACCGTCCTCACAGCCTGAAGAGGACGAAGATGAAGATGAAGCCACTGTGGAGCTGGAGGATGGCATGGATGGGTTTGACGACTCGGAGACACAGGTCAATTGCTTTTGTTAACCGCTTACTTTTTGAGCACATTATAACTTCTTCTTTTTTTATGCCATTATATGAAGTTACACAGAATCTGTAGCAAAGCTAACGCAACTGCATATTTCCCTAGGATCAAGACATGTACAGCAAGTATGACCAGGAGGAGTTTGAAGGGATTGGAGACATGGAGAAGCCAGGCCACTCCATGAAGGACCCCCTCATAATCCACACTGTAAGCCGGCTTTATTGTTAAATCTTCTCACTAGCGAGTTTCACACTCTTCTGTCTGCTACTGATTGCTGAGGCTCTGAATGTGAACAAGCTGCCTACAAAACATATGCTGTTGTCATTGTAATGTAAATAGAGGAAATTAACATAAACTCTTGTCATGGAAGAACAACTGAAATTGTAGCCCTTGGCAACTAATCGACGTTGTTCGAAATTACCATTATTTCAGTTACATTGATACTGATTTTAGATAGACCGAATAATTCGCCAATTTGAGTTTTTTACAAATATATTCATAATGTTGACTTTTGAATTGCTACCTTTTCCTTTTTCCTCCACCCATTTTTTCTGCACATTTTTAGACAAAAAACAGGCCTCTGTATAATTTAGCGTGATACTGTTTATCAAGGACAATCCGGTGGTAGCTGTGTTGAGTTGTTTCAGACTTGTTTCATCCACTCTGTCGTATAACTCCAGAGCTATGCACGGTCCAAAAGTAAAAATGTAATTGGAACTGAAAACAAAATCCTTTTTTGTTGGTACTAATATAATGTTTTATCTAACAAAAAGTATTCAGCTTCAATCCATATTTGTTAAAGTATGTTGATTTTCTGACAAATGTCCTTGTTTGTTTTTATTTGAATACTAATTCTTGCAAAAATAATCTAAGGCCTCCACATGGTTTCCTTGTTTTTTAAAAAGAACAACACATAATGACCAAGAGGA